CACATCCATCTCACATACCATAACAAACCTCATAAAGATCTCCCTCCAAGGATAAAAATGTAAATATGTTGGCACCGTGCACAAGTGTTAGCATTACAGTCCTACCTGAAATCCCTGCTGAAAGCCAGATGTCTTGTTCATTAAGGATGCAAGGAGGAGAAGTAGTGCAGATGTTAGGATTTATCTTCAGAAAAAATAACAAATGTCAAACCTGATTATAAAGCCACAATGTTGTTGATTTTTTTTGAGTTATATATAGAATATCCACACAACAAGAGATGCTGTTGGAGAGCTGGGAGCGGTCCGGGTTGCTCATATCTGTCAGAGATTATAAATCAGTTGTTCTGCCTCTGTCTGCCCAATGCTGCAGCCTCGCTCAGGGGTGTGTCACAGATGCTGCTGCTTCTATAAACACAAGAACACAGCAGAGAAACATTCAGACACACAAGAGAAACAGCGACTGCTTCGTACAGGTATGTTTCAGCAACATATTTAAAGTGTTTGTTCTTAATGTTTCTGTGAATAAGACCTTCGTAAAGAACTCTTATAAACTTCTTATGAAAGTGGTTAGATTCAAATTACATCAAACTGTGTCCTTCATATTTGCATGGAGAGGTAGAGAGAAATGTCATGCTGTTGACCTCGGGGGTTTAACCAGCTGTGTTTTTGGGCTCCACACTGGAGTCCAATGACAGCCAAAGGGACTAGTACACAACATCTAGGCGATTGTCAACACAGTAAAACTTTAACAGAGCTTAAAAGAAGTCACAAACACACAAATCATTTTACGATGCACTCTAAAAATAAACACACAATTCCTAGCCAGAGAAATAATGCAAAGGTTTGTGATGATCCGGATAATAAAAAGTAAAGATATGCATATTGTCAACACGGCTTATAGGCCTACGCCTAAATTAATATCAAGTTGTGAATGCAATTTCAACAATGATTATTCAAACACCCTCTATTGGTGATAAAACACCAATCTGGGGATAGTCTGCTTCAGCTCGTGTCTGGAGTTCATCTCAAACTTTTTACTGTTTTTAAATGTAAACCACTTTGAGCTGCATGTCTTGCATAAAAGGTGCTAAACAAGTTTATTCAAATGTAGGCTATTTACGTTTGTTTTATTTGGACTATTGGTGAATTTATTAAGCATTTAAATCATTTCATGTTGGGCAAAATGACCACCATTTGTCAAAACACATCATTAGTATGATGGATCTTGTTAGCTAGTGAAATTATTTGGCAAACTGGCCAATTTACATTTCCACTCAGATACTATATTGCTAAAGATAACATGAGCAAGCAAGAAAGCTAACGGTAGCTAGCTGTGACTTAGCTAAGCAGCATGGATCTGGCGTTGGTTGCTTCATAACATCCGCTGTAAATGTATTTGCAAACAGCAAGCTAGTAAGCCAGATCGACCCTGAAAATCTTGATGAGTTAGCTAAAGTTATCCAGTCAATAAACTACTTTGCTACGTCAGCTATTCACTGGTGGGGTTGTATGGAAGCTAAAGACAGGCTAGCCACTGTGTGCATAAGTTTCACATGTTCTGGATTTTCCTGACAAAACCAGCCAACATACTTTATATAGAAATGAGTCATAAGCAGTGGCGACTGGTCATTAGGGGCAGGTGGGGCACAGCCCCACCTAGTGTCAGCAGAAAGTATTAAAATAATGATTACAACAAAATGCAAAAAATAAATAAAAAAATAAATAAAATATATTTTAAGATCATGTTTAATCATCTGATTCGTCTGTACATTGCTGTTTTAGTATGTGTTCTTCTAATTAGTGTCTACAGTGTGTGCCTATTGAGCTGTTTAGAGCCATGTGGGCCAAAACCCGATCCTGCCCCTCCCTCTCACTGTCTAAGTGAACGGTGACTGTAAAAACTACACTGCGCATGCTCAGAGTATTTTCCTATTTAATGTGTGTGGCAAAAAATAATGACCATAGGGGCATAGAGCTGCCATCTCCACCATACGTCATCTCACATAATTCAGAGCTGATTGGCTGTAAGTACGTGTGCCGCGAAAAGTGTGGTGTGTGAAGAGCAGGTGAAGAGGAGGAGAGAGACGCGTCCTAAAACCAGGAAGTAAGCTGCGCATGGCTTCCCTCCACAAAAAAGCAATGAGATTTCTCCATAGGATTTTAGAAAATAGCTCAAAATAAGATCTGTGGGAAACGTAGCTGTTAGATAAATGTACGTTTTGTTCAGCCGGATAATATCCACGTCTACCCTACTTTTATCATTTTCGAATCATAAATCCATCATTTAGATTTATGATAGACTTTTGAAACTACAAGAAGATAAGGAGGACTTTTACAAAAAAGTAATAGAGATTTTTGTCCAGAAGGATAGGCAAATGGACTTCATCTTCAAGTCAAGGTAAGACCACCATTTTAGTGAAAATGGGATCTTACTAAGAGAGAACAATTCAATATTTAAATGATAAAATTACATTTTTTTGGTATCCTTCTGTTGAACTGTCTGTTTAAAATTAATCGAAGAATCAGACTAAAAAAGCTTTTGAAAATAATATTATATTTTGATTTAGGTCAAAATATAATATTTGTAAACCTGAAGAGTCAGTGCCAGTGCCTCACCAGCCATGAACCTCACTGCAGAAGCTTATATATAGACATCTGAGTTTTTTGTGCCCCACCACTTTTGTACATATAGAAACGCCACTGGTCATAAGGCTGCTTTAAGCAACCAATTACTCCGTTTTTAGGTTCTGTTACAATCCGTTCAGACATTGGCAATACAGAGCGATTACTAAATGTGAATTGTTTCATATAGTAGGCTACCTTTAATCATAATCATAAGCTCCTGTTACAAGGCTAATGTCACTCAAATATTTGATTAAACTTCTTTCACTTTAGGCTTCAGTGATCATGGAAACATTGCCAAAAGTCAGCCAACATGTCCAAGAGAAGCATCAAATAATGGAAAACGAGTTGGATGACAAACAGGATGGAAAACTACCAGCGGAGGAGCAGGGGGTCGCAAATGAGGGTACATTTAGATTGAATACCCACTATGTTTTTTTTTTAAATTCTGCACCGCCAACCCTAGTCTAGCTTCTGTATTGCAGAAAAGCAGATTTGGAATAAGGTCTGCAGAATTATAACCTTCATTTAACACTTTCCTTTACAACATTAACAGACCAGAACATGATGGCAGGAGAGGCTCTGGACAGAAGGAACATCTGGGAGCCGAGTGTTTACTACGCACTGGGGAATGAGTTTTTTTATATCGCAGGTCATGACATCAGCATCCGCGAGTCTATGGATACTTTTGGTGCTCTGATCTGGCCCGGGGTACGTCCTGCTACTGTGTGTAATGCACATACTCTGACCTACTCTTTGGCTGCAAATATAGTCATGAGTGATTTACTTTGTAGGGGATAGCTTTGAGCCAGTTCTTGGAGAATAACCAGCAGCAATTGAACCTGATGGACAAAGCAGTTCTGGAGATTGGAGCTGGGACTGGCTTGCTCTCAATAGTGGCCAGTCTGCTCGGTAAGTCAATACAAGTCCATTTGGCAAAAACTTTCACTGGTCTTGACACTCAATGTCCCTAACACCTATACTTAAGAAAATCCCAGTACCATTTGATTGTGGGTGCTAGATGGCAAGCTTGAAGGATTTATTACAAGGAATATCTTAATGGCATCTGTTCATCTTTTGTGCCAAATGTAAATGTTGACCTATTGGTGGAAGTCACAGAAACATCAGGAGGTCACTAACACATAGGGATGCATTGTCTCTGAGGACCGTGCATATCCACCCACACCAACATTCTTACATTTTAAAAAGATCTCGCCGAAAACAAAGTGATGGTATTCTGTAGATATTGAGATATTGAGGTCCCTTCATTATCATCATCTTTGGCCTGTGTTCGGCTTGGTGATAGGATCGATGTCAAATGAAGTCACCCATTGTTGGATTGTTGGAGATAATGTCAAAGTGGATTGCAAGTTCCAAACTATAAAAACAAATTGTTTCCTTTCTTGGGCGTTAAGAAGTATACGCTTCTGAAAGACAGCAATTCAAATCTGTAATACATCATACGATAGCGGCAACTCAGCATTCAATCTGTGAAAACTAATCAAATGTTCATGCAAATTGAACTTGACATGAATGTGTGAACTATTGGCAATGCAGAAAAAAGTCAACCTAAATATGGCACTACAAGAAAAAACAGAGGATCAACGTTAGATCTTAATAGAACAAAGTAGTCTGACCAAACTTTCATGGCAATCCATCCAATAGTGGCACAGCATCACTAGAGCTACAAATGGATCAGTCAACAAAGAAAAAGTCAGTGTATGCTTCTTATTATCTGTACTTCAGCTGCCTTGGTGTTCTTTACTCTTTTCCAGGTGCTTGGGTGACAGCTACGGACCTGCCTGACATCTTATCTAATCTGACCTTTAACCTCCTGAGGAACACGAGGGGTCGCTGCCGCTACACCCCTCAGGTGTCTGCCCTCACCTGGGCTCAGCACCTGCAGAGAGACTTCCCCTACCCGGCCTTCCACTACGACTACGTGCTCGCTGCGGACGTGGTCTACCCCCACGGATCCATCAATGAACTGCTGGAGACCATGCAGCACTTCTGCCGACCGGGGAGTCGCACGACGCTGCTTTGGGCCAACAAGATCCGGTTCCAGTCAGATTTAAAGTTCACGGAGAGTTTCGAGAGCAGCTTCAACACCACGCTGCTCGCCGAGCTGCCACAGCAGGAGGTGAGGATTTACAAAGCCACAGCCAAGGAGTGACGAGGAGCTGCGGGAGGTGGAGGATCCTGAGATGTTAGAGGTCATAAAATCAATTCCATATCCTCTGTGTTGATCTGTGTTTAGTTCACAACATCAGTGGACAGAGCTGTAGCTGCTGTAAGGAAAATAACAGAAATTAAGCTCACATTTCCATTACAATAAGTTATTTTATTTGCCAGCACTTTTTTATACAGTTCATATCTCTGATTTAATCTAATTAACAAAAATAAAAACATTTGCTGTAAACGTGTCTCTATATTTAGGTTTATTTCATAACAACTTGACTATATTTACTTGTATGAAAGGTGCTCTGCTCTTCTTGTTTCTTTTCTTTGTGCAAAGATTAAATTATGATCTATGAAATAAACAAATAAATAAATCTATAACAATTTCTTTTAAAAAATGTACATTCCTGGTGTAGTAGCTTTTAGTATTTCAGCAACAGTAGTTGATTTAGCTGTTTATATTAAAACTAAAAGACAGTAGACTCAATAAGAACAACCTAGACTCTATAGAAGCACATATTCAAGAGAAGTAAATAAACATTGTTCAACATGTCACTCTCACTCGAATGTACCACATGACTAACCCTATTTAAAGTATAAGTCTATACTTTAAATGCATTTTAAACCTAAAAGTATTACATTCATTTAACACATGCACACACAAATAGTAAAGACTGAGAGAACGGCAAAGAAGACAAAGAGGAAATCATGTCAGCACGTTCTTTTTTAAACGTCTAAATCTACATTTTAAGGGGTAATCTGGAAGATCTCTGTGTTCTTCTCTTTGGTGGCACCTATCGCAATAAAATGGATTTTTCCAGGAAGTGTCGCCAAACACCCCTGGTTTGCAATGCTGTGTAAACCCCAGGGCTTTCATCAGGGGGGTATACGACTAAGTCACCATTGTGCTACTTAGTTTGGGGATAAAACCTTTAACATTATTACTTAAAGTCCACTCCAAGTTGAAAATCACCATCCTTTCTATTTGTGTTACTGCACTCACTGTTAACATGTAATTAAAGAGTCACAAACAGTTTGAACTGAGATTAGTGAGTCCAAAAGAGATGTGTCTTTCCTGAGTGTATGAGTCTTCATGACGCATAAGTCTATTATTATTAGTATTTTCAAGGTGTTTCGATGACTCTACGAAACGCAGCAGGTTGATGACTTTTGCTGCTCCATTACAGACTCCCTGCGGTCTTTGGGGATGCTGCCGTTAGGACCCCAAATATTGAGCTCTCCATAGATGCCTGTTTCGATCATCTCCTCTTGCCAGGGGATGGGGATGTTGCCTGAGGAAAACTCATCGAAAAAGCTTTTATCAGGATCATCCAAGGTCACTCCCTTCACCGAGGAGAAAGCTCCAACGTCGTCCAGACTTTTAGCGTACACCACTTTAGGGTCCGGGACGAAAGGTGGATGCAGAATTCCTGGAGAGAAATGAAAAATCTAACTTTAGGGGGATTTAAGCTTTAAAAAAACAGAATACGCTTTGACTCTAGATTTCATTCATGCACATGTTTGTATCAAACTGTAGAAGTTATACACAACTCTGAAAAATATGCCACGCGAAAGTATAGGAAACAGATGGTACCTGCGCAGAGGTGGGACGTCACTTAGTACATTCACTCAAGTACTATACTTGAGTACAAATTGTTGATACTTTACTTGAGTATTTCCATGTTATGCTACTTTGTAAATTTACTTCAGTACAACTCAGAGGTAAATTGTGTACTTTTACTCCACTACATTTAATTTGTACCAAGCAGATTTGGATTAAAGATGTGAAATATAATCAAAACGTAAAGACTTAATGTATACTTGCAGTATTCAAAGTCCTTAAAACTAGCTGCACCTTTCCAGCTTTGATAACACTTTAATGCATCAATAATTATAATTAAAACACATCATATATATTATTCTGAAATGGAGCATCTTGCATAATGAGTACTTTTACTTCAGTACTTATATAGTATATTTTGATTTGAATACTTGAATAACATTTTACATGCAGGACTTTTACTTGTCATAGAGTATTCTTACACTCTGGTAATTCTACTTTCACTCAAGTAAAAGATCTGAGTACTTCTCCCAACTCTGCACCTGCGTTCAGTTTCCTCCAGTTGATGTCACTGAAGAAAGCGTGCGCTCTGATCTCATCGCAGCATTCGTTCTTGAAGCCCATCCTCTTCTCAACGTCTCTGGCCAGCAGCCCGTCACAGAGCGAGCGAGCGTTCTCACTGAAGTTTTCCTCATAGGTCACCTCCCGGGTTAGCATCCGCTCTTTCATCTCCTCACGTTCAACCTAAAACAGGCAAAAGTGTTCCTCTCATTCATTTCACAAGTAATTCATGTTGTGCACAAGTTGTAGTTTGATGAAAGGTGACTGACCTTCTCCCCTCTGTTTCTGAATGGGTTCTTAGCTGCAATGAACTCATACAGCGTGACTCCCAGAGTGAAGTAGTCGACTGAGGTGTCATACTTCTCTCCTTTCAGCATCTCGGGAGCCATGTACCCTGTAAGAACGTAAGCCAAGCAATGGATAAACACATTATAATTAAGTACACATTAAATGTACACCTCTAAATGGTGTAAATTACTTAGGGAACTCATTTGTAGAAACAGAGGAGACCCACCTGGAGTCCCAGCGTATCCTTTGGTCTGTGTTTTGCCTTCTTTCAGCTCCACAGCAAGACCCAGGTCAGATATACGCACATTCCCTTTTTGGGAACATAAATAATTAATCGTAATTTGCTATCATTAACACAGGGACCATGCTGTTTCTTCTACTGTTCAACTAGAAATGCATTACCATCATTATCCAGCAGCACATTTTCTGGTTTGAGATCTCTGTAGATGATTCTCTTCTGGTGGAGGTGCTCCAAGCCCTGGATGATCTGAGCGATGTAGAAACAGGCTCTGGGCTCATCGAAGCCCGGGTTGTTCTCATCCACCAGGTAGATGTGGTACCTTCAGGGACCGGAGAACAGGTGAGCTTTGGCTAAAGCAGTGATTCTCAAATGGGGGTACGCGGACCCCTAGGGGTACGTTGGGGTACTGCAGGGGGTACGTGAGGTAAACAAAATAAAAAGGTTAATTAAAGAAATACCATGCATGATTACAAAAATAATCTTAGTACAATAAGTTAAATAGAAAACACAATTTTATATAAAATATTCCTAGAACCACTAAGGGGGTCCTCATATAAACATGTTACATTTGTGTATTGTATTTATAGTTTTTAATAATATATCATTTTGTTCATTGGTTTGTTAAACATATATTAATTCAATTGAAAAACTCCTTGGAAACATTTTTTTTTCATGCATAAAGATGAAAATATCCTTAGTTTGTTGTAATTCATCTATTAAGGAGTTAATAAATCAAACACTGAGGGAACATCACTATATTGTAATTATTTATATAGGCTTTTTCTGTCAAAAATGTCCGGGGTCGGTCAGGGGGTACTTGGCTGAGAAAATGTTTCAAAGGGGATACATTACTGAAAAACGTTTGAGAAGCACTGGGCTAAAGCATGTAGGCCATAAAAAGGCATACATTTACACGATTAAATATATACAGCTTAAGCTCAATTCTTTTTTTTTATACACATATATATTTTGCATAATAGAATCCTTCTTATTATGCTATCGTTTTGCAAATTACAGTCTTCCCTTTTTCTTTTTTTGACTGTTGGGTGCATTTTAGGGAACCACTTCATGTTATTTTTGTGATTTCTAGTCCAATGTCTGTTGAAAAACACAACTAAATATTTGCATAAAGCTGTCTCTTGTGAAACGGACACACATGCAGCTGCGTCTGTGTGCCTTTCTACAGATAAACAACAGTTTGAGGCCACCAAGGTTCATGTTATCACATGTAATCCCTCACACTGTAGGAACCATTATTTAGAAATAAAGTGTGGCACATTTGGGTAACTGATACTGTGTGTGTTCCCATCTGGTGTCACAGCTGACTTCACATTACAAAATCTCTCTGATGTCAGACTGCACACCTTCTGTTGGCTCTAGAGATGTTTAAAAGATATTGTAGAAACATGTTCTGTTTCTCAGATTAAAAAGACTGTAAACGCCACAGCAGCATTGCAGGGACGAGGACCTTATGCTCAGTTTTTGGGATGTTTGTACTTTAAAACATGGGAGGAATGTGACATTACTTGAGGTCTCCTCCGTTCATGATGGTCATCACCAGACAAATTTCCTCCTTTGTCTGGAAGGCGTACGCCAATGACACAATGAAGCGACTGTAAACCTTCTCAAGAATCTTCTTCTCCACCATCGCCCCCTACAGGACGACATTTGGAAAGACCAACAGTGGTACAAGAGACATTTTTCAAGAGAGGAAACATTTGTTTCAGACTATACAGAGACCTCTCTTCCATAGGCCAGTATGCTGATATACATGCCATTTGAAACATAGGTTAAAGTGCATTTCAAAAAATGTCCTCAGACAAGCCAAGGGCAAGATGCAACTGTGCCAAGCAGTTCCATTCAGAAGAGCTTTCCAGTAAAGCCCCCAGTAATCACTCTATCCCTGTCCCAGAGTTTAATACTGCGGGCTAAACGAGGCAGCGGCAGGGACAAAGATGATTAGCAGTGGCAGTCCCACACTTCCAACATGAGGCCAGCAAAATGCCTCGTTTAATCAAATCACTGCATGCAAGTAATTAAAAGGGCTTTTCATTTCCCTGAAATACTCATGCGAGGAAATGGGCCTTTACTGCAGTGCTGTCAGAAGAAATCACATCTTAACAAAACACTAATAAATAAGTTAAAGTCCTTCATTGAAAATGCAGTATGTAAACAAAGTCAATTAAATGTCGTAAAATTATAAAAAATGTAAGCCCTAATCGTCATGTAAGAAAAAAAAATCCTTTCGTTTGAGAAGCCAGAAAAAAAATGTTCACATAAAAAGTGACTTAAAATAATCAAAATAGTTTGGTTAATTCATTAATAGCTAATCATTTCAGCTGTATTTATAGACAATGCATTGTTAACGAACCCTCATATTTTATAATCTCTTTAAATGTTTTGTGTGCAAAAAACGTAAACGTTTGTGTGGTAACTTGTACAAATTATTCGCAGCTCTGAAATGTAGTGGAGTAAAAGTATAAATTGGCATGAAAAGAAAAATACTTAAGTAAAATTAAAGTACATAAAATGTGCACTTCTAATTACAATGGTTGGGTACATTTACTTAGATACATTCCGCCAAATTATTTTACTTGTTCACTATATAAACTTGGGCTGGATATAAACTGATATTCAGATAAGATAATATAGGTCCGATCATATCAGAAACTAACATATATAACCCCAAACTTGTAGCATTTATATTTTAAACTTATATTAACCTCTATGTCAAACATGTTTTGGAAAAGTTGATCATTGTTAATGCATTCCCCATTTCAAAACCATTTGTTTTTTTAAAGTTAAAGGCTAATGAAAAAGACATGCATTGTGAATAAAGGAGCATATTATCAGGAGTGACAATAGTTCTCTCACCTCAAAGCCTTTCCTCTTCTTCAGCCTCTTCTTGTTGAGTTTCTTACAGGCGTACAGTTTCCCCGTGGCTTTCATCTGACAGGCCGACACCTCCCCAAACCCACCTTTCCCCAGCACACGGAAGTCCAGGAACCAGTCTGCGTCCATGGGCTGCATCTCCAGCCACTTCCACTGCAGGTACCTCTTCAGAAACAGGCTCTCCAGGAAGGAGGAGTAGGGGGTCTCTCGCAGGAAGTCCAACAGCATGGCCCATGCTGCTACAAACAGATCATCGCCTGCTGCCTCCTGGTTCTCCTTCACCTTGGCGATGAGGTCCTCTGACAGGAAGGAGCAGAAGTGTTTGCCAGAGGGCTCCATGTAATGCAGGACTATCTTTGAGGCTTTCTTTGCCCTCCCAGAATCCTCAGCCATGTCATACGCCTCCAGGTCTTTCCACAAACGGCAAGCCCCGTGATACTCTACATTTGCATCTTTATCCAAGAACTCCCTAAAGAGGCGCTTGCCGATGGGCTGCTCCACACACACCGAGTCAAAGGTCACATCCAGGGTGTCCCTCAGGCCCTCACACACTGGGAGGTCGGGCAGCCTGAGGCGGGAGTGGTACTTTTTATCCCGGGATGATGCTGTATTGGTGCCATCAAAACTTCCACGAGCATTGATGTAAGCAGAGTTTGCTACCACTGTGGTCAGGCCTCCGATATCCATGTTTAGGGCAGGAGACTGCTAGGCAACAAAGAGAGGAGACATTGCAAAGAGAAAACAGACGCAGAGGATAAATGCTGCTTAAAAGTGTGTGGAAATAAGAAGACGCAGGTGACGGTGAGGCAGCATGAGAGAGAAATGGGACTGAGAGATTGGTGTCTCAACTCAACCCTCACTAAAACACACACACCTGAGTCATCATCTTTTGGTAATCCATTATGACCCTAATGTCCCAGACTGTGTGTGAGCACTGAGCACATGCAGGAACATAGACAGCATATGAAGATGGACTCTCAGTCATTCAAATGGCTATTCACAATTAGCAGTGAGACATTCATGTAGCCCAATCAAAGCAATATTGTCTGCAATATACCCAGAATCCTAATATCAAAATGAATGTTTTTTTTACCAAGCACGTAAAAAAATTAAAATACGACGTTAAATGGGAAATATTCTATTATATATCATTAAATACTGACATCCAGGTTAGTACAATCAATGTATGAATGGCTGTAGTAGTAGCCACAAAGAGATCCTGTCTTAATTCTCAATGCAAGTGAGAAGTGAAAAGTCGTATTTTCTCAAAGATACATGTTTTAATTTCCGCTGGAGCTCATATGAGGCTTCAGCCGAGTTATTTATGCAGATTAGTTTTCATAATAGAAACATATAGGCTACTGCTTTGTTTACACAGCGTGTGTGTAGGATATTTTTGAACTAACAAAATAATTAAAAAATATATAAAGAACTGTTTTTGTCTGCATCACTTACACTGAAAGATTTGTGTGCAGCTGGTTTGAACAGGATTATTGACAGCAATGAATAACCCTTTAAATTCACATACCCGCATTTTAACATGAACAATGTTTAACCTTTGCTTTCAAATGTGGAAGACATTTTGAGCAATACAACTAATGTAAATATCATGCACCGATATGTTTTGCTATCTTTTGGTCTGGCTGCTAAAAAAGCAATAAGATCAAGTGTCTGCGGCACATGCTTCGTTTTGACCCTTATCGGCTCTCCATGTCAAAAACACTTGGCCCACCCATTATTTTTCAAATAAGCCCAGTGTTAAAGTCAGCAAGTGTTTGAATATGTAGAGATTTAAATTAAAAGCTGATAAATGTAAAACTACAGTAGCAAAATATAAGTGAGCAAAGAAGCATATTATTGATGGGTCTCACCTTTCAGCTATCTTCTTCTGAGTGTTTAACATGTTGCCTGTGACTTTCCTCTGAAGAACAGACCCCTCCCCAAACACTTCACCAGCACTCAAGTCTGGGAGTCGATCCTAAACCATTGGCTTTTTTATTTATTTATTTTTTTAAAGAACCACCAGCCACAAATCAATGATCTTAAAAACGGTAATATTTTTTAACAAGGTCCTTTGCCGATTAAGGAAATTAGGAAAACCGTTGTGAATTTTTTTTAAAAGCCTCAGTGCTTGACATGCTAAAATAAATCTCATATTATATTCCAGTACTTCTGCTTACATGCAAACAAATGAAAGTTGTCCTTCCATCACGACCCTTAAAATCGTATTTTCCGCATAAAAACCACAAATTATAAATACAAAATTATTAAAACAATCTATATTTTAATTTGCAAACTTATATTAGATTACAGAAAAGGTTTTTGGAAGAGTCAGTACATGTGTTGCCAAGTTTTAAAAGGGAGATCTTTGAAGGGAGTATATATAAAGATCTATGCAACCACACATTTCAATACACCAATAATTGTTTGTAAGGTCTATCTTTACCACTGGCCTCTAAAGGATACTATAAGCTACAATCGTCGTAGGATTCGTATACGTAAATCACAAACAAAGCTTATTCACCTATCAGGAGCCTGGGTTATAAAAAGTCTTTACCTTGCTGGTGCCATTCTTTTGTAAACACTACCAAGGCGTTGACAAGGGCGGTGACGGAGAATTCCTCAACTCCAGAATACAAAAAAAAACAAAAAAAACTAGCAAACAAGATCAGGAAAAGCAGCTCCCTACAGGAACAGAAGGAAGCCAGCCCAACACAACGGAGAATAAGAAACTATTTAAAATTATTGCCCAGAACACAAAAGAAGAACGTCTCAACACATGTGATGGAGCCACATCCTGGGAGGCCATGGCGACTGTCAGGCCACTCGGAAACCACCGTGTTGCACTAACACGGTTAAAGCAGACACTTTGGCCATCTTGGAACATTTTGATCATCATGTCTGCCGTATGTAATGCAAAATAATAGGAATAACTATTCAAACAAGTACATTGAACATTCTCCAACAGCAGTGGGTTTTACAGGTTGCTTTTTTTTTAAGTGGGATGGCTTATTGAGAAGTGGATTGAACATACAAAGACTTGAGAGCGTGGCCACAGTTCCCTTGGACGACACCTTCCCCCAAAGCTGCGGTGCAGGTGCACGTGATCAGGATCAGAAAAAGACGGCTGCAATAACACACCTCTGTACTTCCAATTCATTCATCTAGACCCCTGAGAAAGCCAGACAGAAAAACAGGCATGGGGAACTGGGAGGAGATTGAAGAAGCACACACAAAAAGGGGACTACGTTCCCACGGTGAAGGTGGTTTTGAAGGACTGTGCTTGTTGGGAGTGGCGAGGTGTAGATGGGTTAGTCTTCATCGTCATTTTCGTCGTACTCTTCCTCGTCGTCTTCGTCCCCCATATAAGACACTGGAGTCTCCACGCGAGACCCGCTGTAGTGAGAGTCGTTCGAGCTGGAGGCCATGGTGCCGTCAGTGCAGCCGTCGCTGAAAACAGGAGAGAATGTAATGGTTAATGGATGAACCGGCTGCTATCCGGCACATTTATAGGATACATTACAGGAAAGACTTCTCACCTGCTTGCAGGGTAACGGGCTCCATTGACTGAGGACCCTCCAGTGATATAGACGTTACTGATTGGACCCTTTGCCATCTCTGTGGAAAACAAAATAAACTACATCAGCAAATAGAAATATCTTTAATGAATCCTTAAGGCACCACTCCTCTGAAACATTACATGGATAGGCAGAGGACCACTTCATCCAACTATTGTTCTAACTTTGTGTTCAACAGGACTTTGTTTTCGTTTGTATATGAAATACTGAAGGAAAGGTACATAAAAACAATTCGGAAAAAATAAATCTCATCTATTGCTGTTAAAAACGAAACGCCCTGACCCACCATGGTGTCACTTTCTTTGCAAAGCACTGCAGTTCACTCATTTTCATAAAAGCTCACATTTGAAAATGTTCAATCCTTCATTTATGAAACGTTTCAGGCAGAGGTACTAATGTTGCGTCAAAGCAGCTTTTTCTTGCAAAAGGATGCATCATCATACCCTGCTTTATATACCCCAAACCCTTCCCTTTAAACTCTGTAATTGTAAAGTAGGATTTCTGCACTTTTATTTATTATCAAACTATTTATATACCAAGGGTGGCAGGATTTGCTTTGGAGGTTTAACAATGTAATGCATTTATTCTTCATCAGGGTATTCCTTTTCCAGTGTACCGGACTAAAGGTAGGGATACCTGTAAAATATTATCTGTGTTTATTGAGCATGAAAACATTGAATAAGCAGGATACATTTTCTAAAACCTTCGTAACATTAAGCTGTCTTTGGCTCTTTTCTGCTGTAACAATGTACATGTCCACTTTGTGGGACCAATACAGGTATTCTGAAATCAGGGTTCCTGCAGTTTTCGCCAACTGAAATTTAAGACTTTTTAAGACCACTTTGAATAGAATTTAAGACCTATTTCACGACAAGAAAGTATGAAGGAAAATTGCTATGAAAGAAGAAATACGTCCCATAATTACTTACAAAGTAAATGTATTCATGTTCAACATGAGAACGATGACTGAACATAACAGAACACTGAACTGTGTTCGCATGTTAGACAAAGTGAGTGAGTGAGTGAGTGAGTGTCAAGAGCTATAGTCAGAGCTCTGCTGTCTTCATGCTGTTGTATGATTGGTGTTTAGTGTCCACAGCACCTCCGCTTTTAGGGTTGACGTAGACGTTAGCCATGGAGTGCCACAGGGCTCAGTGCTCGGACCTATTTTGTTCACATTATATATGCTTCCGTTAGGCAATATTATAAGGAATCATTCTGTACATTTTCATTGTTATGCGGATGATACTCAACTATATTTATCAATCAAGCCTGATGAAATTAATCATCTAAATAAAATTCAAGACTGCCTTAAGGACTTAAAAACGTGGATGACCTTAAACTTTTTGATGTTAAACACGACCAAAACTGAAGTTATTGTACTTGGCCCGAAGAATCTACGAAACAAATTATCTAAAGATATACTAACTATGGATGGCATTAATTTGGCCTCCAGTGAGACTGTAAGGAATCTTGGTGTTATATTTGATCAGGATTTATCCTTTAACGCTCACATAAAATCAATTTCAAGGACCGCCTACTTCCATCTACGTAACATTGCAAAAATCAGGCATATCTTGCCTCAAAACGATGCAGAGAAACTAGTCCATGCATTTGTTACTTCAAGGCTGGATTATTGTAACTCCTTATTATCAGGGTGTACCAAGAAGTCAGTCAAGTCGCTTCAGCTGATTCAAAATGCTGCAGCTCGTGTACTAACCAGAGTTAGGAAAAGGGACCAAATTACTCCTGTTCTGGCTGCCTTACACTGGCTCCCTATAGAACACAGGATAGAATTTAAAATTCTTCTTCTCGCCTACAAAGCCCTTAATGGGCAGGCGCCATCTTACCTTAAAGAACTCATTATACCCTACTGTCCTACTAGGGCATTGCGTTCCAAGAATGCAGGGTTGTTGGTTGTTCCTAGAGTCTCTAAAAGTACAATGGGAGCCAGAGCCTTTTCTTATCAAGCTCCACATTTGTGGAATCAGCTTCCAGTTTGTGTTCGGGCGGCAGACACCCTATCCGTTTTTAAGAGTGCGCTTAAGACCTTCCTTTTTGATAAAGCTTATAGTTAGGGCTGATTAGATTCAGCCCCTAGTTTTGCTGATATAGGCTTAGTTTGTCAGGGGACATCTTACTTCTTCCTTCTCTCTGTCTATACCTGTGTACTCTCATGTTCCGATTAACCCAGCTTCCCCAAATTTCTTTCTTTTTGGTGTCTATATACGCTGGGATCCGGAGTCATGGATGATCCTGTTGCTGCGGTCCTGTGTCCTGGATCGCGAGCCCTGGATCTTGAGTCGTGGCTGTGGTCCTGGATCATAAGTCCGGGATTGATATCCTCGTGGATTCATCTTCCTATTATACACACATGCATTTCCAAACATTTGGACTACCCATGTTGCAAATGTATTATCTTTTCAATTTACACACGGCATCTATTGCACGTCTGTCCGTCCTGGGAGAGGGATCCCTCCTCTGTTGCTCTCCCTGAGGTTTCTCCCATTTTTCCCTTTAAACTGTGGGTTTTCGCCTGAAGTTTTTCCTTGTACGATGTGAGGGTCTAAGGACAGAGGGTGTCGTATTGTCATACTGATATACTGTACAAACTGTGAAGTTCACTGAGACAAATGTAACATTTGTGATATTGGGCTATATAAATAAACATTGATTGATTGACTCAAACGTCGCCCGGAGGTCCCCCGGTGTTGTTGCGGGAGCTGCTACACTAGCTAACGCTGCACTAGCCAACGCTACATTAGTAAAACAAACTCTAATTTTGTTTGCAAAAGGTGCAGCGGGCTTCAAACACGTTCCCTCCACTGGTTTCAACTAAGCACTAAATTCAATGTTTTCCAACCAAATACGGTTGAACTCACACTTCCCCATATTTATTTGTAAGTAGATTCAAAGATACCCGAGTTTCTGACTGCCACTAGCTGAAGCTTGGTTGCTATGTTACTAGCTGGGTGTTCTCTGATAAGGGGCCGGGGGGAACAAAGTTAGTGATGACTGGTCCCATGTTTATTTATTTCAATACAAATTGTTGGGGGGAACTGAAAGGCTATTACCGTACTGGTTACTTTGCAGCCCGGACATTTCCCCCAAAACACATTTAGACGCGATCGCTACACAGAAGTACCTTTCAAATCCCATCATTTTTAAGACCTTCTAAATCATATTGAAGACCTTTCTTCTTTTTTTGATAGTATTTAAGACTTTTTAAGGCCTTCAATTCTGATTATCAAATGTAAGACTTTTTAAGACCCCGCGGGAACCCTGGAAATAAAGAAAGAACCAGAACCACAGCATCTGAGATGTATAACTAAATAAATAATAACAAAGCGTCTTTGGGCTCAAGAAAAGCGCTATAGAAATAAAATGTATTATTATTATTATAACTCTGGGTGAGAGGACTGACCTATAACGTAGGGCTCCAGCGCTTTGGGCACCAGACTGCGTGCGACCTTCAGGTCCTCCGGAGAACACTTCCCCACCTCCAGACCGCAGGCCATGCCCATCCGCTTCAGCACCTCGATGTCGTCGTGGATCTCAAACATGCTGTCGAAGTTGAACAAATACTCGAACCTGCAGATGAAAGAGAGGAAGCCCAGGAGAGATAAGAATACATTTAGTAGACCGAAGAAACAAGGAAGAGGATGTAAGAGGACTTGGATTCAACCCTAAATGAGACATCTTAAAGTCAAGAGATGTAAAGGAAGTATCCGCCTTCAGTGGGCAGAGAGGAAACTATGAACTACTGAGTTACCCTGAACCTATTGAAGGCTATGTAAAGCCTCAATGGTAACATTATCCTCACATGTTTCATTTCATCGTTTATTTGAAGAGGGACAATGCACATTGATGAACATTTTTAAACAATTAATGCTTCAAAATGTAAATATGCCAGATTTGAGCTTTTAGCTGGTTTCCATCCGTAGTCCCTCACATACAACATATAAGAACATGACATTTATATACAGGGTATATGCAGGAATCCTGAAGTCAAATGTAAAACCTTTTAAGACCTTTTTTAAGACCCTTTCTATACATTTTAAGACCTCATCGACACTTTGAGTTCTAACCGGTTACATTGGCGACACACTTTACCTCACATTGACTATACACAGTATTGATTGTCCTTCCTCCTTATCTTCCAACCATTTGGACACAAACTTGCATTTCCCCATAACGATGGCGTAAACGGACCTTCGCGCGCTATCAAGCAGTGAGCGCGCGATGTCCTGTTCAGATGACGTCAAACCCAACGGGATGCCATAAATAAACTACACAGAATCACACTACACACCTACGCAATGATTACATTCAGGCAGACTGTAGAATACAACCTCTTTGGACCATTTATATACTTATTGAAAACAAGCGACAAAATGTAATACCTTGGAAAATGCCGTTTAATAGCCTTAATTTTCGCTAAATTGATCGATCAACTTTTAATACTTTTTAAGACCCCGCGGACACCCTGGAGGGTAAAGGTTGAATGAGATGGACTCTAATTGCATTCTACTTTATGTTTCTTCTAGGGTTAAAAATGGCATGATATATTTATGTTGCATCAAAAATCGAACATATTTGCACAATAAATAAGCCCCAATTAGTTGACATGCCAGAGTTATGGTCTTACATGTAAAGTCACTGCCTGCCAGACAGCTTCATACTGAACTGTTGAGTCAGCGTCTAAAGAAACTGTTCAGGTTTATCACGTTCCTCCTCACGCCCAACACCATTTCCAAAGAACTTTTTACTGGCATTTGACCACAAGCTGTTGGTTCCCTTGCTAAGGTCTGGAAAACTTAACATGCAAATCATTCACTTTACGCAATAGGCATCTGTAACTGATAAATGATCGAATTAGGCTAGTAATAACCTACCTTGACTATTACAAGTGTTCTACTAATCCAGTCTTTTCTATGTGTTTTAGTTATTCAAGAGAGCTATCAAGGTGTTTGACAGAAAGCCACATTCATACCACCACTGTACCATCCTTGAAAAACACAATTTCTTGAGCTTTGACCATTTTAAGTCTTTTAAAAGTATGTGCTTTATTTATAAATGTTTACATGGACCGCCCTCCCTTAGAGGAATTCATCCACAGAAAACACACTGCACGCTGCACTAGGTCAGAAACCAGAGGAGACTGTGAAGTCCATCGCAGAAGGACCACTTTTGGACAAAATGTCCTCTCCATTAAAGGCAGCTCTTTGTGGAATAGCCTCCCAACTGAGACACAGGATTGTCCCACTCTCAATAGCTTCAAAGGTCACCGCTAAATGCACTTTAACACAGGGACACTTTACATGTCGTTGCTGCTACATTGTACTGCCATGTCATAAGTACTTGTGTATGCTGCTCTTTTGCATATCATGTATTTTGTTTTTGCTATGTTTGTAAAATGTAAACTTCTTAAATGTTTTATGTGAGGGACTGCGGATGGAAATTAGCTCAAAGCTAAATCTGGCACTGTTACGCTTGACACATTTTAATGTTTTAAGTGTTCATTACTGTGCATTGTCCCTGCCAAACAAACGATTAAATAAATAAATGTGAAAGGTGTTGTCATTATTGCTCCCCTTTATCAGGGGCGTAACACTAGTAATAATTGACCTTGACTATTACAAGTGTTCTCCCACTAATCCAGTATTGTAATAGATACTCAAATTAAACTGTAAGGTTAATGAACAATATAATAGTGCTCAACCATGAAGGCTAGCACCATCACATACTTGTCATTCGAGATGCTGCAGTCGATGACCGTTTTCTTGCTGGTGTTGACGATAATGAACGGGAGGTGGATGATGGAGTTGGGAGGTGGAGATCTGTTTGCCTGCTGCTCCGTCTGTCTGTTCCGCTGCACCAGGTTCTTAAAAGCTATTTGCTGCAAGACAAGATTAACGAAAGGTGAACACTTTGACAAAAAGCCAAGATTAAGACCGCAATCAACATCTAACACAATAGTGCCTATAGCGGCCGTTTAGTGTACAGTTTTGCACTTACAAACACCTTGAGAAGGTAATTACGAACAATCACTAAGACGAAGACCCCCATGATAAGGCCAAGAGCAAACTCTCAGTTCATCCCCACCTGCAGTATGAGCTCCTGAAGCTGCGACTGTTTCTGCTTAATTCTCTCAAGCCGCCTTTGTCTCTCCACCTGCAGATGAAATAAAGAAATAGCAATGAAGATTTATAACATGGGTTGAATAGGAAAGATGTTGACGATGCCATGATCTTAGGGCAGGAATACCGTGAACATAGTTTAACGTGACGGAGGAATAAATACACACATACACCGTCGGCTTTGCTTCAACCGGAAGGGACACGTTTTATTGCGCATGTCCCTTTTGTCACGGGAATACAGGAAGTGATTAGTATAAGAGTATTAAATAAACAAATACATATCTTACAATTCATAATTCAACACCCCCACTTATTACATTACATTACATTTAGCTGACGCTTTTATCCAAAGCGACTTACAATAAGTACTTACTCTTATACTGCACAAATTCAATTTAAAAATCGTGTACACTTGAACAATAACACATTGTTATAACAAATGAATATCTTACAATTCATAATTCAACAGAAGATGTGCCTGAAACAAGTCTTTGTTGGAAGTGTTCTGTGTGTTTCTACCTCTAGGTTTTGGCACTCTTGCGCTGAGTTGGTGGGAAGGCCAATCCATTTGATTTCCTTCTTCTCTTTAGAGATAATGTTCATGGCCATAAGCACATTAAGTGCATCGTACACACGCCGTCGGATGTTCTTCTGGTCGTACACGTGCTGAAATGGAGAATCAAGTTTAAAATATGGACGACATTATTATTATTTTTATTACATTTGCATCATTCTGAAAAAAGGTCATGCATCAGCAGCACTCACTGCGTCGTTGGGTGACATGTGGCTGTCTGCAGAGCTGAATTCTGCAACCAGTTCATCTGCCACCTCGTTGTAGGTGGTGACTCCTTTCTTCTGCACCTTCTCACACACTTTCATGGAGAAATGCCTCAAGCCCTTTCCATTCTTTTCCCCTTTCTTTCCGCGTTTTCTGCAGACAAAACCGAGCCCACTTTCAATTTTCACATCCATTTCACCTTTTCCTTTCACTTATTAAGCGAATTCAAAGAACATTTTGAAATGACACTAGAAAAAAGCAAATAAGGCCATAAACTTCACTTCAGCGTAGTTTTGTCAGACGTTTGTGCTATAGGGTCACATGGCTGTAAACTGACAGTGAAGTAGAGGTTGCGAACTGGAGACAATATCATTCAGCTTGGCCATTTACTAGAGAAAATGGAGAGAGTTCTTCAGGAAAGCTCTTTTATGTCAGATAATATGAACAAATATAGTTCCTTGTCCAGCGTCAAAGACGGTTTTACTCATGCAATACTTCAGAGGCTCTTAAAATGACAAGATTTGTAACGTGGATACTGATAAGTTTGTTGAATGTGTGCCTTTCCTTTCCAGTATCAAATTAATCTCCACAGGGTTCCACGTTGATTTGAAAGCGGATAAAGACTTCTGAGACTTACCCTGAAGACCACGGAGAGGCATCTGATGGTGGATTCTGAGTGAGGAACTGGGAACTGGGTGTATGTGGACTGTTTACCAAAATGGTATTGGACATCGTAGGCCTCTGGGGTGTTCCTATCACCTACAGAGAGACAAGCGAAGGGAGAAATAGTCAATCGTAATTTCCAATATCTGACTGTTTGCATTATTTCTTACAAACCAACATTTCATTTGTAAACAAACCATACAGGAACGCATTGGCATCAACACAAGAGTCATGACTAGCTAGTGGTTTACCAATGACTCAGCAGCTGGGTATGCCAGATACTGTTTTCAGAGTCTGTTTGCAAATTACTAAAACTAAATGTAGCTTTCGCAAAGTTGATGCAACAGATAAACATAGGCAAATCAAATGTCATCTCATTTGCCTAAAGCAGGAGGGTCAAACTCAAATACACAGTGGGCCAAAATAAAAAAAATGGGTACTAGTCGAGGGCCGGACTGGTTCAATGTTTATTGCAGAACTTATTGCACATATTAAACCTGGAACTAACAAAGCTTAAATTATTGCCTAAAGAAACAACATTAAATAATCAGTGCAATATACCGGCGGGCCAGATCTAATAGTAATTACAAATTATCCTGCGGGCCGAAATTAAATCCACCAAGGGCCTGGTTTGGCTCCCGGGCCTTGAGTTTGACACATGTGGGGTAAAGGCTGGCAACAGAGCAAAAAATAGGCCAATACCAATATTGAAAAGGCAAACCCCTATTGTCCATTTTGAATGGAGAAAGAAAACGTTTTTATTTTAGACATCTTTATTGATATTGACTTATCAGTTACTGGTAATGAACATGGCCAATGATCAAAGAAAGATTTGCCTCTTACACCGTAATATGAGGCATCTATGAGATCCATTCCTTCACTAAAGTTTGATTATCTAAATTATCTAAGCTGATTTATGTTATGTATACACTCCTTGTATATAATGGGATGATGGGTGTAATCCTGCTGACTGTAGAGTTGATAAGCTTAGGATCAAGTCCCTTCACCCACCCGGTCACCTCACAATGATAATGGAGGGACTTACACAACAGTAAGACCCAGCAACAAATCTATAGACACTAGCATCTTCAAAAGCTGGATTTTATTTATTTCTGAGGTTACAAACTCTCATACAAATGTGGTTAAGAGAGCATAACAGTCTGGCTTTATAGGACCATGAAGTGTGGTGGTTGTGTGGAGCATCACTCACCATGTGTGGCAAATGTTGCATGTGTGCAGCAATGTTCAAATTGGATTGCCCAAGAGTTTTGGGAAGTAGCTGTTTGGCCACGGGGACAGCTGTAGCCTGGACTGTAACCAAAGACAGGACACCTAACAGAAGACATGAAGACGAGTAATGAGTAGAGCTCGAATGATATGCCATAGCCCCCTATTGCAAAATGAAAGGCACAGAGTTTCCTGTGTGGGAAAGATAGTTTATATTGAACATTGCAAAGTCTTTCCTATCATAATCACGTTGGTGTTGGACTTGTTTTTATACAAAAACAGGCCATAAACCATGATTTGTTTTAAAAAAAAACAAAGCAATACCATTTAAAATCAAACAATCAGCCATTCTCATCTGTTCAATTATTTGAATGAACCTTTAAAATGTAAACCATTCACAAAACTGAAACCATTACACAATTTTAATTGATATTAGTCGGTAAAGTAAAATGACGGCAAAATGTGGCGGTGACAGGACACAGAGACATTAATGCAGTGGTTCTCAAAGTGGGGGGCGCGCATGACAGGGGGGGCGCGAGAGACCAGGAGGAAAAATGGTTATTAAAAAAATATATATAAAAAAAAAAATTCATATTTTGAAAAATTATTGATTCGAAAATAATATGATACAGTACTATTACGTCTGGGTCTCTGCGTTTCATTAAAGCTCGGCTCTGTGTGTGTGTGGAACAAGCCATTTTGTGTGCGTGCGCGAGAGAGAGAGAGCGCACCGGTACCGGAAATCGTTGTTGTTAGCTTTGGTGCTAGCGAGCTACGCTAACGGATATAAGGAGTTTTTTCAACAACAAAGTGGAGGAGAGTCCTCTCCTGCCAGACTGAGAGACTCAGTGAGCTAAAGGACTCTCAGTGTTATCTCAGTGGGTCTCAAACGTTTTGGTCACCATTAATGTAAACAATTATTTCCGAGGCACACGTTTATATGATCATTATAGTTATAAAACAAGAGAATAAATTAAAAACAGGTATGAAATACTATATGACAGTAAAAAAAAGGATAAAGTTTAAAAGGGTGATTTGTAAAATATCCATAAAGAAATAGTAAATCTGTTTACAGTTGTTTTTCAAATGGGTGTTGAGAGATGTATCCATAGATCTCTTCATTTTGCTCTCAAAGTGCAGCAGATTGATGCTTTTAACTTCAATATTTAGCCCTGTGGGCCATCTAAGCTAATTTATAGATGGACCTGAGCCCAATAGAGATTGCCCTGAAAAATGCGCGCAGACGAAATGGCACGAAGGGTTTGGGGGGCCTCCGTCCCCCTAGAAAATGTAGATTTTTGCAGATCTTAGATGCTGTCTGGTGCATTCTCTAGACTGAATTATAAGATGAACCACCACAATATTATATTGTACAATTTCAATTTTATTCTTCATTTCACTTGTTTGTTCTTGTTTGTGTTTGCTCGCTTGCATGCCCTGCATAGCTATAAGAAACACTTAAGTTGTTGGTCAAGACACTTTCCATCTGATGAAGGCAAATGCCTTCCCAGGTGTAAAAAAGTAGAAAACATTACATTCAGTTATAACTGCCAAAACAAACATTATTTACACTATTATGGCCCCTGTTAAAAATGTTTGTAATGTTATCTACTGTAAGTTGGTCGAACGAATGCCTCCTCATCCGGAAGCTGACCGAGCAGACCCGAGCAACAGTCGAGAGGAGCCGAGCGCATCCGCGAAGCACACAAAATGGCGACGTCAGAGTTCCCGTTAGCCGGCAAATCTAAATCTCTTCGGTCAAAATAATTTCCCTTTAGCGCAATACCGCTTCAGTTGCGCCACTTATGTGACAGACAAGAAGAGTATGTGACAGACAAGAAGAGTATGTGACAGACAAGAATAGTCAATTATAATGTCTAACACTTAATGTGGAGAAAGAGATGTCCTGTATGGGTTGATTGTGCGTTGATCTGTTGGTAATGCCTCGGGGTTCCGGTGGGCATGTAAACAAATGCATAATGCTGCGCTATACTTTGTGGCCTCACCCGGTTGCATAGCGACACTTATTGTTTAGGTGTCTTTTAATAAGCAGGTAGTCATATCATTAGCTAGAACTAGCTGGATCTGATCGATATGGACATAAACGCGAGTGAAGTCTAATCTGACGGGAGAGAGAGATCAGCTGCTGCTGACGAGTTGATACGCAGCTCTGCATGATCACATGCAGCGGTGAGCGGACAAACACACACACACACACACACACACACTTCAGGTTAGAATATCACACGTAGCTATTTTAATTACCTCTCAAACTACCTAAACTAGTTATAGATATGTTTAGTTTTACTGTCGGGTCACTCATTACTGGATCCGCGAGCTGCATGATACTGGCATTATAGATTGCCCGATCGGGCAACCAGCAGGTGAGGCTTCATTGCCCGAGCTAAATACTAGATGGCTCCGGGCCATCGGGCAGTCCTTAATGTCGAGCCCTGCGTGAGGTCCACACACCACCTATAAAAATAGCACTTTACCTCTGCTTACACCTATATGCCGTGAGCTGATTATCGAGCCTTCATTGTAACAGTTGCGGGTACGTTGTGTATTTGCGTGAGGAGCGTTGCAGTAGAAAATTCCACTGTAGCGCCCGGTACATTAATGGGAAACCCTAAATGTTTGAGCACCCTCTATGAAAGGTCAAGCTACCCCACAGCACCCCCAAAATAAATCTCTGGCGCCGCCACTGAGCCTGACTATTTGTGTGGGGGGGGGCCCTGACTTTTTTTTTTCTCCAAAGGGGGGGCCTGACAGAAAAAGTTTGAGAACCACTGCATTACTGTAAGGATGAAACTGCAGTATAAAAAAGGCATTTTCTAGAAACATATACCTTTGCTGGGGCTCAGATTCTGATCGATGAAAACCTTCAGCTCTCCGTTAGTTTCTATCAGACCAGCCTGCAAAGGACAAGAGCACACTCGGAATTACAACATTAAAATACACTAAATAGGTCCAATGAACCAAAAGTGTACAGAAGAAGAAACGTGATATTTTAAAAAGGGAATATCTTAATGTAAAGCAAGACGTTATCCTAAGATCAGTCAAAGTACCTATAAAAAAGGTGGCACATTGGGCAAAGGGCTCTTTAGTTATCATCAATTAACTAGTTTGACTGGAGACATTTTGATAATATTTGGTATTGGATTATCTAGGTTCCTTAAAAGTGCATTAACTACATAAACTAAACAGGTTTTCCAGAATAAAATAAAAACAACAAATTATAATAATAAGTTACTTGCATCTTTCGCCATGATCCCAAAGGACCGGAGCAGTTGGGCTTCAGGCTTAAAATAAATGTTTCTTTATTTGTCCCTTTTCAGACCCCTGAGGACAGAAAAAACAACAACTATTATATTACAGTAGTTCATTTCCAGCTCATCCAAAATGTCAATTTTTTAAATTATATTTCACACAAGTTTAAATCTATTTAACTACAGGTTTGTTTTCCAATGAAACTGAAGTATTTCTGAGGCCCATTTAAACTGCTTGCTGCCAGCACACTGTACACAGCATTAATGTTAGCTTGAGTAACCGTGTGTTCTTAGGAGACAACATTAACGACAAATGTGCATATTTCAGACCTTCCTCGACTATATGAGCCTTTGAGGTGAATTTCTAAATGCACCTTGTCTGCAGAAACTCACAATAAAGCCTCCCTTGATGCTCACAACTTTTACTGAGCTAAGTGTGCACAAGGCCTACTTCAGGTACCGTCCGGAGGAGAGGCATCGTAGAACTTCTGCTACAGGTCACGCAAACATGCTAACTTTATCACACCAGCGCAAAACTATTAAAGAGACTTAAGTGATAGCACCATGTAGTTACAGTCCATTATTAATGTTGCATGCACTAGCAACAATATTCACCTCATACAACGACAGCGATGAACACTCTTTTGTTGAATGCAGCTAGCTAACAGTTAGCGTTGGATTCAGCCTGCTGGCGTTAGCTAGCCAGTTAGCTTATGCACGTTTTCAAAGGATTCACTTAGAAAATTGCGATTATTTAGTTCCGTGCTGCAGATTGAAGGCAAAGTTCCGCGTGGGTTATCATTTAAGAAATGTGTGTGCATTTCGCACGGTGAAAAGTTAATATGGTGATTATGTGCACTTACGAGTGCACTCTCCTGTTTCTTCGACGGCTGTTGTTGTTGGCATTTGAGAATGGAGGAAGAGGAGGTCTAAATCCTTACCAAACAGGAAACAAACTAAGCAATGTCGAACTACTTTAATATAATTATATGTGTAATACCATGGACAAATTACTTAAATTGTGTTAGTGTTTACTAGTGAGTTTATTTCTAGCTCAACTTCCTGTTTCTTGTCATTTTATGCCAGGATTTGCCTGTGTCGTATGGAGGCTGAATTAAAAAGTGATCGTTTTCAATGGATCAAAAACTAACCACTGAAAAAGTCAACAGAACAAGTTAACAATTAAGCATAAACAACATGCGTTTTATTCAGACTGAGACATTTTAAACTACACATTTCGCCAAGACTTCGGATTTATCCTTTACTTTCTGGGTGATTAGATTCTTGATGTTTAAGTGTTGATTACGATAGGTCTGGACACTGGTCAGCAACAAACTTAAGAACAGTGAGGTTCTTCCGAAGTTACACTAGCATTAGGGTTATGAATAATGTCTTAAAGTAGACACATAAACACACGATCCTGTTTGTTATAAATACATTGAAGAAAACACCGAGCTAACGAATAATATATTTTGCTACGTTACAAGTGCTGTTTGCTCAACCATTAAAACAATCTTTTTGACGTTTCAGGACAACAATGATCATTCAACAGCTTAATGTACATTATGTTAATGAACCAATTCAATCACTATCACCATGAATCTCTACATTAAACCCACTAAAGTCCTTCTGATGACTGTTAACGTGTGCTATATATAGTAAGTTATCAACTTGACAGATAATACACTGAATTCAACACAAAGTACAGCAACTAGTAATATTTTAGGTAGTTAGCAATGCCTTCTCATTAGTGTAGCAACAAGCTAACTCGCGATTACGGTTGGAAAGCAGGACCACCGGCGCTTTGTTAGCCAACTGACGATTCATGAGCTAGCAGCTAGCAGGCGAGCTAACCCACAGCTGTCATCGACAACACTGCCAGTATTAGCCGCAACATTACTACGTTAGCTTAGTGTTAGTATATTTTAAAGACTTTCAAAACACACAATAACTGATACAACATATATTTAACATTCTTTTGTGGTAACTCCGTCACACAGCAAGCCAAAAGTCGATAAATACGGCGGCTTACCGGTGCACTTCACAAGTTAGCAAAATGTTTGTTAGCCTCTTCTATCCACTCTCCGCTAGCCGTGCTACAGCAGCGCGTCTCACAATCTGATCTTGGCGGTGTCTCTCTTCAGCGCCCTGTGATTGGACAGCATCGACGAGACGAAAGCAGAGCAGTAGAGAGGCTCGTGCCCACAGACAGCATCACTTGGGATTGGTGGATACCAACCAGCGTCATATATACACACACCGCCATCTGCTGGCCAGGAGTGGGAGGATTATCAACTGGGGTCGCAGACTGAGGTAGGATTTTTGTCATATTTTATAGCTGCTCATTTTGTTATTTCAATATCCCATGAATTCATGTAAATCATTTTGTTCCTCGTGACTTCATATTATTGTTTTTAGTTCCCGTATAAAACTTACTTTTTGTTGAAAGGCCTTAATTCTACTAGTAGGTGAATGTGTTTTTTGCAAACAAAAAAGGAAATAAATACATTAAGATCATAAGTATAAAAAAGAACCAGAGGCAAGCAGAAACAGTAAACATAAACAGAAAGAAATAATACAAAATATATATTCAAAAGCTATCAGACAATTAACAGTGAAGTGAGTGTTGCTGATAAATGACAGCTTGTGATTGATAGCAGCAGAGTCAGCAAGTCACTGTAAACAGTGTACACCTAGGCAGGCTAATATATGATGTAGTATATCATAGTTCATTATTATATATGGTCTATTGTCATACTGATATGTTGTACAAACTGTGAAGTCCACTGAGACAAATGTAACATTTGTGATATTGGGCTATATAAATAAACATTGATTGATTGATTGATTGATATGAGACAATATGAAACAGACTAGTATAGTAATATGATACTATACTACAACAATGTAACATAATGTATAAGCATAAAAAAGCAATAAAACATGGGCTAGTATAAGTTTAATATATAGTGTAAGACATAACAGTTACCAATTAGTAATAGAATATTAAATATGGTATCATAAGTATAATATATAACACAAATACAATCAACGAAAACGAATGCAGTTAAATAAAGCAGCCTTAAAATAAATGCTACTTTTTCTGAGGTGTTGATTCAAGTTTATGGAAGTTTTGTAGGATGTATTTTGGTGATGTTGATTTGTATTTGTTGTACAGAGGGGTGTTTTTCTTTTTGAGGGTAGAGTAAGTATAGGAAGCATCTTTCTCAGTACAAAGAAATACAATATGACAGCCTAACAAACCGCTGTATACAATCAGAGTAAAGCCCATGAAAGCATCTCACAACAAGTGGTTTCCCCTCTATTATAATGGTCACTTGAATGATGCATCCTGTGAGTAAACACGTTTTCAACTAAAACCAGGCTATCATTCATACCCTTTTCACTGCAAAACAGCCACAGGGAAGACTGACATCCACAGATACTCTATCAGTCATCCCTCACACTTGTTGAAGGGTGTATCATTTACACTTGAGATAAAACTCAGCTGGGCCAGAGTCCACCCAAAAGACATATATTACATTTTTCTTTCAAGGTTGACGCTTAGAGGGGTGTTTTTTTATAATATATGGGGGAATCAAATTACTCATTGTCCACCGAATATAATATAAAGGGGGAACAATAAGAGCAGCTGGGCCCCCATTAACCCCACTATCCCACATACTCTTTGTGTTAAGTGTGCAACTGCTTTATGCCTGAATACTGCCTTGCCCTAGATACTGCGTATGCCTTTTAAATAAAACTATTAATTCAACGTAATACACAAGATAAAGAGTCTTAACAACTGTAAAGGCTGTATTGCTCATAGGAGAGGTGAGTGATAGGGCTTATTGCATATCTGTATTGATAATTACATTACATTACATTACATTACATGTCATTTGTTAGACGCTTTTATCCAAAGCGACTTACATACATTCAGTACTATGGACAATCCCCACAGGAGCAATTTAATCATCCAGCCATAATGTACACATGGTGCAATAAAGTAGAGTAAAAGTCTCACTTTCTTTCACCCCTACTTACAAACATGTATATTGTGTACATGGTTTTAAATATCAACAATAAAGTCACATAACATCAGAGCAGTTACTGCAGAACCTCATCCTTCAAATGAAACGTTTTATAGCTGCTCGACTACTTCCGCGCATGCGCAGAATGAGAGACAGTCGGGCTACCAAACTGGTCAAACAGCGGGTGTAAAAATGGTAGGTAACCAAAATAAACACAAACCCAGGCTTTGTCTTTGGTGCCATTAAGACTTACCTTGAGTACTATGATCGTAGTATTAAAGTACACGCTGTGTCGCGTTTTGGCACGTCTACAATGATAAGTTACGTGTGTTCGCTGCTATTACAGGGAAGGTCAGTTGATATTTTGGGAGCAGCTAGCTAGCTACACGTCCCTGTTTGGCAGTCTGTTAACTTCGGCTGTGAGCAGGTCAGTCTTTGGACCTTAAAGACAGACACACACGGGATCGTTTTAGTGAGATCCCGGTATATATGTAACCATACTGACAGTCTTATCCCGTGATACAACATCGTTGATGTCAGTGATACAGTGTGGCTAATTTAGCTAACGTTAGCCAGTATAAGTTACTAGCTGGTGGTATATAGACAATGCTAACCTAACGTTACCCTTCTGGTCGCACACACATCTGTGCAGTCTGAACAGAAGACTTTTGACTTCTGCTTCGTTTTTAACAGGAATCTGTAACGATTGGTGGAGTCATTAGCAACTTGGTGAACTCAGAGTTTAGTCTCCGGTTTCAGGAAATGCTCTCCAGCGAAGTGCAAGTGCTCAGAGATACAGCAGCTGCTATGCTGATTTTTCAAGACGATATTTCAGAACAATATTCATTAAGATTTTTTCTTTCGGGATGTCACCATCAAAAGTTTGCCCCCGATCCGAGTCATTTATTATTGAGTATCGATACCAGGACTATTTTCCTATAATAATTTCTTTACACACTTTAAGTACATTAAAGTTATTAAAACCAATTCGGTGTTTATGCTTGACGATTAAAAAGCGTTGCAATATATTCAAAGAAAAAGCCAGGATCCTAGCTGTTTCTTAATATGTTGTTTACTTTTGTTTTTACAAACTACTAATTATACTTATTACATCATTGTAATAAAACTAGCTTTACTGTTTATTTATTCTCACCCGGCCTTAATTACATATTTACAAACTACTAATTATACTTATTGCATCATTGTGATAAAACTAGCTTTACTGTTTATGTATTCTGATCCTTTGATCCAAGGCAATGTTTTCAAATCAAAAGTCCAAAACTCTGAGGAATTAATTATAAATTAAAATGGAAAATTTGAGCAGTCAGAGACACTGGATTTTTACATTTTCTCTTAAAAATTACTTTAAAAATTCAAATTAATATGAGTCCTTTAACTACTTGATGAATCAGAAAAACGGGATTAAGTCATCTGGAAAACCTTAGAGCTCACTGTTGTTTATCATGTCTGTAAAACTTTCCCAACAGTTAACTGACGCAATATGCTGAGGTTATTTGCATGTCGACAATAGCCACATTAAATATTCTGAATGCCTGTTCATGCTTGCAGCCATAACTCATTTTTGTACACATATCTTACAAAAGTGAAAATTCCCAACTTTTTCCAAAAGTGTTGACAATATTAATGTATAAAGTATTCTGAGAAATGCAATATTCTTTAATTTATTGCTGTATATTTCTGTCAGGGTGCTTGTGTTACACTCCAGACTTGTTGCACCCCCAGGTCCTGGTGATGGCATCCCATTTCCCTACTCATGTTACATCTGTGACTGTAGTTATCTGAGGGGCCCTCGCGGGTACAGCATGTGCTTTGAGAATCCACAACATCCCCCTTCAGAAAAGCCCATGTTGCCGTTGGATAGGACATTATTAACAGGACAGCGACTTGGCTCACCACCATATGTGTGTCAGTGTGACAGACTAACCTTTTGATATACAAGTTTCTGAGTGTCTCGCAGTCCTAACTCTTGCCTGAATGCCTGTAGATGTGTGTGTCTCGCTGTGTGTTCTGGTCTGTGTTTCGGTCTGTGTTTGTGTGTTGCTGTCAGTCTTCCCTGGTCTGATCGCGCCCGTGTCTGATAGTCCCTGTCCTGTCCTCACACAGCATAAGCTAAAGTCTTCGCAGAGGGACAAGGTACGGCAGTTCATGTCCTTCACACAGGCTGGGGAGAAGACAGCTGTGTACTGCCTCACGCAGAATGACTGGAAACTAGAAGTTGCCACCGACAACTACTTTCAGAATCCAGACCTCTACTGCAAGGAATCCATGAAAACGTCAGTAGACCGGAAAAGGCTCGAGCAGCTCTACAATCGCTACAAAGGTAAGTCCGTAACCTAAAATATCAACCAGAAAGAACTGTATTTAAAAAAAAGTTCTAGACACTACTTTGGCGCAGAAAATGTCACTGATACTCTTCCCCCCCCCCCCCCCCTCCTTGATAGATCCCCAGGATGAGAATAAGATCGGTATCGATGGGATCCAGCAGTTCTGTGACGACCTCTTGCTGGATCCAGCCAGCATCTCCGTGCTGGTCGTGGCGTGGAAATTTCGTGCCGCCACTCAATGCGAGTTCTCCAAGAAGGAGTTTCTGGATGGAATGACAGAGTTGGGGTGAGTGTTGACATCAACAGCGTGAGACATGCTCCAAAGTGGGACATAAACAGTGTTCCCAAAGTATCATTGGTGGTGGTTCCTCTTGGAGTATAGCTCCAGGGAGCGAAGGTTGTCTATATATAGAGCCACTCAACCACAGCTAGAGTATTCTGTGTCCTTATGGAATTACTCCGTCAAAGAGCTGCAGTGTTTTGACTTTAGAAGTTCAAGTTACCTTTGGCAAACGTGTCATCAGCATTAAAAAGCTAATGTTGCAACTGGTTAGGGTGTCTGTGTGTATTTATATTGTTGGTTTATTTATTGCTTAAATTTGTTTTTTTCTAGGTGTGACAGCCCAGAAAAACTGAAGGCCCTGTTGTCAAGATTAGAGCAGGAGCTTAAAGACAGTGGGAAGTTTAAGGACTTCTACCAGTTCACCTTTAACTTTGCCAAAAATCCTGGGCAGAAGGGTCTAGGTAAGATGAGTTACAACAACAACATCAACAACAACAACATATTGCTTAATGGTGTCACTGAGTTTCAAACCATTGTTAAGTGTTCTGCTTTGTGTTTGTGTGCAGACTTGGAGATGGCCGTAGCTTACTGGAACCTGGTTCTGTCGGGACGGTTTAAGTTCCTTGATCTTTGGAACAGATTCCTCCTGGTGAGTCAAGGAAGTGAAATTAGAATCAGTATCAGCACCAACACTGACCTTATTAAGCAGATCAGGTATTAGCCACGACATGAACAACAAATATACAATTGTCTCTATTTGTTACATTTACGACATGCAATTTGTATGGTCAAAGTAATCCCTTGCCGTGTTACCTTACCCAAAAGCATCAAATAACTTTAAATGCGATAAATGTAAAAATATCAAATCACTTGAGTATCATCTTTTTTGATACTGTGTCAATCTGCAAAAACTCAACTGCCTTTTTTCTAATAGTTTACATCCAAAGATTTGTGACAGACAGAAGTCCAGATTCCACATAAAGCAGTTGTTCTGAATGCATTAAAAAGTCTTACAACTTTTTGTATCCTTACATTAGATTTGTCTTGCCTTGCTTAAAATGTCCAGTATATGTAATGGTATCGCCCCAACATCGTACTGCCAGATTCTTGCCAATACACCGCCTTAATAGGAACACAGATCTAAAATATTAGGGAAGAAGAATATTCAAGAGTTGAGGTTTTAGAATGGATTTCAAGTGGGATAAACATGGATTGTATATCAAAAGATAAAAACACATTTGTTTCAATCATGGTGAACTTGGCTTTCATCCCAAGTAACAACAATTGACCCCAACAGTCTCCTGTTGTTTGAAGGAGAAACTGTGGATAATGTGGGGAATTGATTCTTCAGATTGTGTCGGAAGTTTGTATGAAAAGACCAGCTATTCTTGACCATCTGTTGTCCATTACAGGAACACCATAAACGATCCATCCCAAAGGACACGTGGAATTTATTGTTGGACTTTGGTAACATGATCGCAGACGATATGTCAAACTATGATGAGGAAGGTGAGTTCTGGATTCATCGATCTGCTTCCTCTCTAATGCTGGGAACATGGACTTTACTGTTTCAATCTCTCCCACTGATGATATCTTGTTTCTTTTCTCAGGAGCGTGGCCGGTCCTTATAGATGACTTTGTGGAATTCGCTCGACCAATTGTAACGGGATCAAAACGTAAAACTCTCTAAATCCACTCCCAACTCTGGAGAAGCCAGAACCTTGTTTCTTTTACAGTGACTTCATTGTTTTTTTTAAGACTTGTACAAAAAAAGTGAAAATTGTAGACGAGAGAGAAAACAGAAGCACTTGAAACTGTCAGGACACCACCGTTCAGGGAGCTGAGTACAAACATTGAGAACAACTGGCCACTTTGTTTTGCCCTCATGAGACCGGGGCGTCATCCGGACATCTGGCGGATTCACCGTTGTCTCTCCGCTGGATTCTCAGCATCCTGGACGCCTCTGCTCGGCTCCAGGAGGAGCGCAGCCCTGTATGAGGGGATGGACACAGCGCTGAGGAGCTTCACTGGCTGTGTGCACTCTAAAGGGACTGGAGAGGAGGAAACCGTGTGTTACGCTTTGTTTTGTTATATGAAGCTCTGAGCGACTGTGCAAAGTTCCCATGTCTTACTCTAACTCTGAGTGCTCGCGACACCAGCACCAAACAGAACTGTTGCAGTTTTTACTGTACATACTGTATCTATTGGGACAGTTTACAAAGAGAGCTATATGAAGAATAATATAAATACTTTCAATTTATAAATGCAAAGGATGATTCTTTTATGTACAGTCAATGCTTAGATCTCTAACGGGATGCCTCGATATCGTGGATGATACGCTGTTGGTTTAAGTGTTCGGTGGATCTGTCATGGAGTTGTGAGCTTCTCGTTGAAAGCATGTTAAACACATTTTACGTCACCACGAACTGGTTTCACAAATACATTTTCACTAAAGTAAAGGCAGTGCTTTCATTTAGCTAACTGAGTTTGGTTCGTGGTTTTCATTTGTCAGGTTAATGTCAGTTGGGAGTATTAAATCTTACATGTGACACAGTCCACATACAGCAGCAAACTTATGTTTTCAAAAGATTACTGTTGAGGAAATGTTCGTTTTGTATCCCTGAGGCATTAATGATGCTAAAATTACTATTCAGAAACATTTAAGTGAAATATAAAGTGAAGAACTGACAAACCCGTAGGATAGCATGGCACATATCCGTATGTTATGGCAGTGCTCAGTTCAGAAGCCAGGACGTTAAAGACGGGACGACAAAGTAAGCCTTAAGAATAAATATCTGTCTGTTCAATATTTATATTTCTGTCCGAGCCATCTGTCCAGTGTTACTGACGGTAGTGAAAACTAGAATATATTGTTAAAACATCATGTAAGTATATTGTTCATTTGAGAGATGAATAAAGCATGAGCTTTTCCATAATCATACATGCAAAAAGTTATTTTGTTGATGAGACACATTTTATATCCCACAACAGTACAGCTGCTTAGACAGGAGTGTATTTGTTATGATTGACAATGTAAAAAAGATTTATAGCCATACTGATCTGAAAGCTTTAATATTACATTTTTCATAATCCTCCATGTTGTTGATTGTTAATAATAAACAATATTTAACAAGATCTTTCAAGTACATTCTCGTTATAATTTGGATAGTGCTTTGGAAAACAAACCTCATTAATGAAACGTTATTAAATATGTACCTGTTTGTGCAATGTAACATATCTAAAGTACAGTATTGGATGATGGTGAGCTGTCAAGGAAGTTTGATCATAAAGTATTTACAAATGTATTCTACGTCCTCAATGTGTCTATCATAATACGCAGCAGGTTAAGTGACTATGAAATAATATTTACGCCACTATGTACCTGCATGTTGGGCCATCCTCTGCAAAGATAAGTTGTCACGAACATCAGTGTTTAGTTTGCGAAAAGGGTTTTATGACATGTTTGGATGTTACAACACTAAAAACATGTACTTCAAATCAGACAACTGTGTGTTCCATAATTTCCTTTTTTTATTTCTCCATCATTGCTGTCAAATAAATGCAGAAATACAATAAAAATCATGGTTCTATAAGACTAATGTGACAGAAAAGAAAGAATAGCTCGTCCATGGCTACCATTTTAGGGAATAGTTCACATTATGGAAGTCTTACAGGAAAATGGTCAGTATCAGAAGGACTGGATTTGTCCCCTATCACTTTCATAGGAAGGGCATTGGAAAAGGATATTTTAATGACCTGTGAACAAGCTAAACCTGTTCCAGTGTACATAAGAGCGCCTTATTTGCTGTAAAGACACACTGATGTGGTCGTATCGTTTAAGGGAAAGCGCACATCCTCTACCATACCTGGGAATATACTGGATTAACACATTTGAATGAGATTATTTTTTCTATAATCTGTTTTAAAGGGTTCATATAAAACCAGCATTATTGTATTTCTGGCCACTTGGGGGCAGTGAAAACATTGATATCAAAATATCCTTTAGAGAGGCACTACAAATAAATGTAAATGAGTAAAGTAAAAGGGGTTTAGTCTTCCTTTTGATAGTTATATTCCTTGCATTGCATCTTAGATATACAATTTAGATCATAGGAAGATGCCATGTACATAATAAAAGAAAGTGTGTACTTTTTTGAAAGACATTTAAATATCTTTCAATTTGACTTGAACGGGGGAATTTGGACTCTGTGTTTTAAAAATTAAAATAGTAGTATTTTAAATGTTTAAAAATCCTGGCTATGAATCAATATTTACCATCTACAGGAAGTACACACCTCTGTAATGACACATCATTGACTGTAAATGAAGACATATAGCAAACATCACTGTTTCTCTTCCTCTAATTGTTTTGCATGCATATAGCTCGAATCGATGCTTCCTTTATACAGTCTATGGATGCTACCTTTATACAGTCCATGGATGCTACCTTTATACAGTCTATGGATGCTACCTTTATACAGTCCATGGATGCTACCTTTATACAGTCTATGGATGCTACCTTTATACAGTCTATGGATGCTACCTTTATACAGTCCATGGATGCTACCTTTATACAGTCTATGGATGCTACCTTTATACAGTCCATGGATGCTACCTTTATACAGTCTATGGATGCTACCTTTATACAGTCCATGGATGCTACATTTATACAGTCTATGGATGCTACCTTTATACAGTCCATGGATGCTACCTTTATACAGTCTATGGATGCTACCTTTATACAGTCTATGGATGCTACCTTCATAGTCTATGGATGCTACCTTCATATACAGTCTATGGATGCTACCTTACAGTCTATGGATGCTATATACAGTCTATGGATGCTACCTTCATATACAGTCTATGGATGCTACCTTCATATACAGTCTATGGATGCTACCTGTGGAAGTTACCTGCGTGTTCCTTCCACAAGCCCCGCCCCTCGGTTACAACAGTAAGGTGAGTAATTTGAAACTCCGACCGCTTTGTTATTTACCTTCACAGCAGACAACTCTATTTCAAGAAACAGACATGGGATAAACAGGATTTGTATAACCTTGGAGGCGGACTACTTTATAGTACCCGCAGCACATGACACACAATGGAGCTGAAAGGAAATGCTTCTCAGGCTCTTTCGGGTGATAATGACAGTGAAAGGTGAGCTTTGTGTCGATGTGTTCACTGACTGCTGCTTCTCTTTTAGTTACGGTTCAAACATGTGTATTCTTCACTAACAGTAACATCAGGTAATTTCCTCATCATCTAATTGTATTTTCATCAGTGGTGGAATGTAATTAAGTACATTTACTCAAGTATTGTACTCAAAACAAGATGTGGTAATTGTACTTGCATATAGTATTTTACAATTATGCAACCTTGTACTTTTACCTTACTACACTTTGTAGGCACTTCTTAGTCCAGTATGATTTTATAAAGTCAGTTACAAGCCAATAATATATAATTATTATAGGTTAAGCTACCCAAGAGTATATAAAGTAATTAAAAACAATTACATTATTGATTATATATGATTTAAGACTTGGCCGTATTACATGAGTAGGCTACCTTTACTTTTCGTAAAAAGTATAATTTGATACTATTACTTTTGTACTTTTACCTAAATACGATTTTGAATGCAGAACTTTTACTTACTAGCTTATTATTATACTTATTATCTTTATTGTAACAAAATATTTTTAAACTGTATTGCAATCTTTACCTGAGTAAATGACCTGAGGGCTTCTTCCACCTCTGGTTGCCACTTTGTTTTACTTGAACATTTACAACAACAGTTAATAAAACTACAGAGATCAGTAAAATATCATTTCAAAAAGCTGTTTGTTGAAAAAACTAAACTTTCTGAGGTTACTTTTCAAACTTGAATGTTGCTCTTGCTACTATAAACCCAGTATAAAGTAATTTAAAACGGACTAATCATCAGGCTTGGGTATTTGATCTCCTCTCTGCTGAAACCCAACCCTGGGGAGGCTGTTGTAGCGTCTGTCCTCAGGGAATAGGAGCGACAAAGAAGGGCGGGGAGGAAAGGGACTCCAGCTGTCAGTGGTGCTTTTGTGTAGTACTATATATTTGTAAATGCTGGACTCTGTGGATTTGCCCCTTCAGGATTGACCCTTATGGCTTTGAGAGACGTCAGGATTTTGAACCCTACAAGGAGATGATGACAGAATATGTAGCGGTGCTAAACAGAAGGTCAATGAGATGGGACAAACTGCTTCAGGAGAAACCACATGTGGAGAAAAACCTGACAGGTACAACAACAAAAGATCCCCAGTGGAGGAATGTAACAACAGAGACATTAACTAAAGCTCTATACTTCTATTTGACACAGTTGTACTTCACTTCATTTCCATTTTAGGCTACTTTATACTTCTACTCCACTACATATCAAAGACAGGATTTATACTTTATTTTACTCTCATAGCCACTTTTAAGAATCAGAAAATCTGAAATATTGTATTCATCCCCCATGAGGAAATGTAATTGTGACGTATACTGCTGTGAAAAGCACCCTGCTGCAAACTGGGTACATCCTTTGATACTTTAGGCTCATAATACTTTTGTACTTATTTCTAAATAACATTTTAAACTCAAGACTTTTACTTGTAATGGTGCAATTAAGACAATAGTACCTGCTTCTACACAAGTAAAGGATTTAAGTACTACTTCTCTATTAGCACACCACTGTTGTGCTTTCAGTGCTTTTTGTGGTTATGTAATTGCAATTATAAATATATATATAAATGTTTTCTTTGAAGTGAAGCGCTACGTGCGTAAAGGTGTGCCTAATGAGCACCGTGCCAGGATCTGGATGGCGGCCAGCGGCGCTCAGGAGCGACTGGAAAGAAACCCGGGTTACTACCAGGCTCTGCTGAGCATGGAGCATGACACCAAGCTGAAGGAAACCATCCACACAGGTGCAAACAAACAAACGTTACACAGAGGACATTTTGACAGGGGTGGACAGAAAGTACATTTACTCAAGTACTGTACTTTTTTCATTTTCTGCTACTTCATACTTTAACTATAATATACTTTAAAGGAAACTAAGGAACATCTTACTCCCCTTCATTTATTTAATAACTTTCTGAAATTAGAAAATCATATTCAGATCAATAATGCAAAATATAATTATAATATTAATTGATCTCGTATTATTATTACAGGATTAAGATTAAACTTTATTTATCCCTTGGTGAAATACACACATTCTGCAGTATAAAATAAAAAGGATATAAGCTCCTACTTTTCAAAATTAGAGTGATGAACACATGAATGCATCAATAATTCTTATTTTGATAACATAAAATATTGTTCTTATGTTGGTCATTGTTCAAATGTAGTACTTTTTTGTTTTTGTACTTTAAGTATATTTTATGCTTTGTACTTTTATTTAAGATTTTGAATGCATGACTTTTACTTGTAACAAAAATATTAATACACTTTCCTTCTTACTAAGACACTTAAATAGAATAGGGGACATGAATAATGTTATTATCAACAGAGCTTTGTCTATGAAGTGTCCAAATGTCCTCTGTGATAAAAGCCGGATCCAGCCTCCCCATCCCCCTACAATTATTCCCCCTTAAAAAAACCTCCACACGCATCATCAATTCATCATCAATCATACATGTGATACTCCTGTAACCACCTACATGCATGTATGTTTGAGACTGAGCTGTTTTTGTTTTTTGTTATGTTTTGTCTTTTGCTTTGCTTTGTAATTATGTATTTGTCATGTATGTGCTACTTCATTATTGTGTTGTAAAAACTGGAAAAATAAATAAATATATTGTTTAAAAAAAACAAAATAAAACACAGGTACATTTCATATTAAAATTCTTGTCATGTTATTTTTCAGACATGCACAGGACCTTTCCTGACAACGTCCTCTTCCAGAGCAAAGCAGAACCGAGCCTGCAGAGCGCTCTGTTCAACGTGCTGCTTGCGTACGGACACCACAATAAGGAAGTGGGCTACTGTCAGGTGAGGAAAGCTCATACGTTTTCCTCTCATTGTTTACCTAAAGAACAGGGCCAGTTAGTTCTGTATTCATTTAAATACAAACAACCCACATGTCCCTTTCTTTGGAACATACTAATTCCTCTTCCTGTACAACAAACTTGTATTGCTTAAATTAAAATACTAATTTACATTTTGATGTATACAGTAGTCACAGACTTTTTGTTGTTGTTTTCAAATCAATGGGTTTGCTTAATGTAAACAGTCTATTTTCCCCAGACATGCATACATAACAAGTTAACAATGTATTGGTGTAAAAGCTCTTTGATTTAGCGAGTTGGAAATATGTTGTTGCTGAGGATGTGTCTTGTCCTGCCAGGTATTAGGGTGCATGTGTCTGTAAATCACTGTTATAAAATCATCGCTCTCTCTCTCTGTTCATGTCAGGGCATGAACTTCATTGCAGGCTACCTCATGATCATCACCAAAAATGAAGAGAACTCCTTCTGGCTCATGGATGCATTGTTGGGAAGAATGCTCCCAGGTAGAGTTTATTTGTATTCTTTATCTTCACAAACATGAAAGGTCATGCAAAACACCGACAAGTGTTTAAAAAGAGTACGAGTTGCCCAGCCACCACAGCTACAACACAAGTGACAGGACAGTTTTTGGAGATGTCAATAAAAAGGCCGAGAAGAGGTCTAATCAGACTCCAAAGTGACACAGGGCTTTTAATCCGTCTCACTTTATTTGTAAAGCATTACATTAACTGAATGTCTACAAATAAAAAATGGAAGAAAAGTTCAAATAAAGCATTACAAAAAAGTTGTTGATATTAAAACTCTTTCAAATCAGTAATACTGTCATCTAGTGTTCAAATTAAAGCTATGGGCCAGCATTAGCATACTGAATGAATACACACTTCAAGGCAGATCTGAGAGCAGTGTAACATGATAATTTACCTGCAACAAAAGGTGTGCATATGTTCCTGTTTATAAAGGGAAGAGAGACCAAAGTGTATATTTTCTAGATCAGTGATAACATTTAAATGCATTTGCCTCTGCTGTTCAGTGTTATATCATGACCCACTTGAAGCAATGTTGGGTCATTGATGTCAGGCTTTTTAAGAGAATTAAGGCTGACTATAATGTGTTAATATAATTATCTACAAATTGCAAATGAATAGTATTGTTCGTTATGACTCGTTGTAATAAAAAAGGCTAAATAGCAATGGACCCAGGTTGGAGCCTTGTGGAGCTCCACATTGAAAATTCATTCAGGACTACTACAGCCATCTAAAACATTTCAATTTGATATTAGATTTATAAAGTAGAGATATGAGCAAAACAAAATAAAATAAACTCCTATACTTTGTGGATATGGTAGATTTCTACAGTCCGGCCATGATGGGTCTGAAGACCGACCAGGAGGTTCTCGGGGAGCTGGTGAAGGCTAAATCTCCTGCAGTCGGACAGTTAATGGACCAGTATCCCGGCATTTGGACGCTGGTGGTGTCTCGCTGGTTCATCTGCCTCTACATCGACGTTCTCCCAATTGAGGTGAGGAAAAGTTGGGGTTTAATAATATAGACAAATAAGGAATTCAAGCAATGTCGAAGCACTAATTTGTCTTGTTCATTGTTCTTACAGACAGTTCTGCGGGTCTGGGATTCTCTTTTCTACGAGGGCTCAAAGGTTATTTTCCGTGTTGCTCTGACTCTCATCATTCACCACCAGCCGGAGATCCTGCGCGCTCGTTCTCTGACGGATGTGTGCGAGTGCTTCAAACAAATCACCTGCGGAGCATTCACTCTGGACTGCCACACCTTCATGCAGGTGCGATGAGAAAGGACATTAGCATTGGCTGTTGTTACATGGGATAAGAGATGTTTGAACATTAGCTCTCCTCCACTGGCAAACTTTAGCAAAAGGTCCACCTGCTTTAATCCTTTTTTTACATAAGGGATTATTCTGGTGAATACTTTGACAATGGATCTAATTATAATTTGGTCTAGAATACTGTATGTACGCAAATAGTGAAACATTCAGATGAAAGTAAACTGAGCCCATTTCAAAATGTCTTGTTTTATCCAGGTAACATCTCTAAATAAAAATATAATCTAATTTCTACTATATAAAAGAAAAATGTAAAACCAGGAATTCACATTCAAGAGGCTCAAATCAACATATTTCTGGAATTTTTTCTTAAAAGAAAATAACTTCAAATTATCAAAGTTGTTGCAGTAACTGTTTCAGATCCTAAGTGCTTTGCATAATGGTTGGTTCATTTTCATTCAATAGTAGAAAGGGAGGTGTGTGGTACAGTGGGGTGTGCGTAGGAGTTCGGATCAGGGGTCGCAGGTTCAAACCCCACTGCAGTCAGCATGTCGTTGTGTCCCTGGGCAAGACACTGCACCCCAAAATTGCTCCTTTGGGGATTGCCCACAGTATTGAGAATGTAAATCGCTTTGGATAAATGTAATGTAGAATATACTCCTTAATTAAAAAACAGAATTAACCTGGCCTCCCTGAGAAGCATTCAGTCAGGTTGCACTGAAGAGAAGACATTTACCAAAAGTATAATGATCAGAAAAGGAGGTGTCATGTAAAATATTCAGTTTTTTCAGATTATGACAAATTGAAGCCACCCCTGGGATAGGAGTTTATCCAGAGCCTGATAATTATAGGTGAGGTGTTTATATGAGGCTTATTCTGACTGAGTTTTTAAGGTGGGGAAAATTACAGACTTTTTGTAAACACTGCTTAGTGTGTACTCCTGTAAAGGAATAATTAGAATCAATTGCGTGACATTATCTCAAATTCTCTTTCTACAGAAGATATTTTCCGAACCTGGGACCCTGTCGATGGGAACTATCGATAAACTCAGAGAGAAATGCCGACAGCGAATACTGGAGGAGGAATCCGGACGCCGGTAACATTTTGTATCCACCCTTTCTCACTGGATTAATAAAACCCTTTCATTCAGTGTAAGTAGACAACACTTTAATATCAGGAAAAATTAACTATTTCCAAATGAACTACTCATGGATTTTGTTCCTTCTGTTATACGTTTCTATATTACTCTCTAAAGGATGTAAACATTTGCTCATGGTCTCACATTTCTGCTGCTATAAATACTTCAAGATAACCTGATGCTAATGTATTTAAATTGGCCATTGTTTTTATTACTTGCACTATTGTATTGTAACTTAATAGTAGGGAGTGGTTTTATTATTGTGGAGGATAATATATGAGAATAATAATATATATTAATGATAATATGTGTCTAATGGAAAATAGTTGATGTCTCTTGCACTGAAACACTATTGAAACTGTACTTTCTGAAGTAAAATGAGATATATTCATTTACAGAACTTTGTGTTTTACTCTATATTAGAAACCTAACACTAGCTGACCTAAAGAAATGCCTGTGCGAAACAAAGATAAAGAAAAAAGTTTCTTGTTAACCTGGGGCCTGCGGGCTGTTTTAACAGTTACATAATGTTGTCTCGCACCTTTGGACAACTTTCCTCCTCCCTGCATGTACAGAGACAAACGTATGAGCTCAGATGTGATAAAAATGAACGGTGCTAAAACACTACAGTTCAGAGTCCTGCGGGCTTTTATTTCAGCTGTCTCGTTAGAAGAGGATTTAAAACCTGAATGACTGAAAAATCTAATTACATTTTATTGAAACTTTACAAAAACTGATTTAACAATAATAATAAAAAAGGCACTTTTATTATTGACACTAATATAATTAAGTCTATGGTAGATGTTAAAAAGGAATTTAAAATAATGCATTTCTAGAATACAATTCCCAATTATTCTAGACCAAAATAACGTAGGAACCGGTTTCACTGCTGAAGCGTATAGTAAAGACAAAACAAAAAGTCTCGTTCATTCAGTTTTATTGACCTCTTCTTTAGAAAACAAACAATTCAAACAAACCCATTAAAACCTTATTAAATAACTACATGAATATTTAGATGAGGGAGAAAAAAACATGGGAAAAAAAATATCTTTACTTTCTCCTACAACATCAAACAATGCATTTCTATGGTAGTAACGGTACATGAAGGCTTAGTGAGACACAGAGTCTCGACATGGCAGCACACGGTGTCAGTGAGTGAGTCCCTCTGTGGTATTGGCTTTACTTTCATCCTATCTATGTCACTGCGGGGAAGGCACTGATAAACACTGACCGGAGCATTTTGGCCTCTTAAATCATTACATGGGGCTGTTTGTTTGTCAGAACATTAGTGCAACTTCTTTCACTTCAGAAGCAAAAACCCAAGTGGAAAAGAAAACAAACAACACCACCCGGTGGAGTGTAACACGTCAACATTTTAACACTCAACAGTGATGTCCTGAGCTTTTACATCCACATAAGCCAACCGACGATTGTTTAAGCAACTTCACTTTGTAACAGTAAACCCCAAGCGTGGCTACAATGACCTTAAAGAATAGTTTGACATTTTTAGTTACATGATAAGATAGAGGAAGATGATAACCACTCTCATTTCTGAACTGATTAAATTAGTTTAGTATAAAGACAGGAAACGGGAGGATCAGTTAGCACTGCTTGTCAAAAGTTAAGAAATCTGCCCACCATCACCTCTAAAGCTCACTCAGCACAATATATCTAAGATTGATTTGTTCAATACAAAACGTGAATTGCAAAAACATGACATTGTGGATAAATGGGAGGGTTAGGTAGGTGCTACAGAATATTTCGTTGTTTACACTTTGCACAGATCAATCAACAGAGTAAATAGGCAAGTTTTAGAAGTGCTGGTAGACTTTTGGATTTACTTCGACAGAGCCAGGCGAGCCATTTCCCGCTGTTGCAAGTCTTTATGCTAAGCTAGGCTAACCAGCTGCTGGTTGTAGCTTTACATTTACTGTGCAGCCGAGTGGTATCAATCTCGTTTTTTCCCCCAAAAATGTTGAATTATTCTTTCAAATGGAACCAACTATTTTACAAAAAGTTCACAACTGCATCTTCAGTCTCCATACAAAATGTGCCGAGTACCGTAAAGAGGAAAATAACTAATCCCAGTAAATAAAATTAAATTCAAGCTACGAAGGGGACTTCTTGCATATCCTTTTTAGAGTCGGGTTAAGGTGTGTTACATAAAATCTGCAAACTTGGGCTAAATGTAGAGTTACAATAAAAAAACATCAGATCATTTCAGTCTGAAGTGGACTGCCAGAAATATTCCCTTTTATATTAACAAACTTCATTTAAGGCAAGACCACTAAAAATGGTCGCCCTAAAGCCGATAAGAAAAAGCTAGAGTAGCTATTCCCTCAAAATCACACAATCCCTCAAAATCACACAATCCCTTTCAGAGAAATCATAAATAGTACATTACATATTGAGAACGCTAACTTCTGATCAACATCCGCCCTCTCCCTAAAAGTACCAGTTTTCCTTCACTTCCTTACAATCCCCTAACAAAGCCCCTTTCCTTTTTTTTTTTTTACACAAATGAGCGGGTCAGACCGGAAGGAGCAAATCAACCTGCGTGATGATGACTAGCGTTACTGATGAAGGCTAAGAACAGCACACACAGGCAGGGAGGGTGAGGGGGGGCACAGGGTGGAGTGTTTAGTCTCATAAAACAGTGGTTAATCTCGGGGGGGGGGGGGGGGGGGGGGGGGGGGGGGGGGGGTACGCACCGCTCTGCCCTGAGTCATGTGACCTCAGATGGTTTTGTGGTAGCCGGCGTTGGCTCCTCTTTTCGGCCGATGAGGTACGCCAGCAGCACGATGAAGACGAGACCCGCGAGAGCCGCTCCGACGATGATGGGGATCAACATGTCGTCTTCATCCAACTGGCACTCCTCAGCTGGGGGGGGAACGCCAGAGAGGATTAGAGCAAAACCCGGGAAATCACCCAGTTTGAAGCTTCTTAAAGCACACGTGATTAGTGAATTTACATTTAATAAGGGAGTATACAAATGCAACGTTTAAAAGTAACGTTTTTTTTTTAAAAATCGTATTGCTGAAAACTTTGTTGCAATGTCTGTTTTTTTCCAATATGGTGAAGCCCTAATTTGTACATTTGAAGGATTGAAATGAGAAAGTGCAAAAACATATTTGTTGTCACTTAAACTCATAATCGTGATCTCAATATTGATCAAAATAATTGTGATCATAATTGTTGCCTTAATCGCACGGATGCAGATAAAGATAGAATACATGTATCGTTTCATATTGTTTGTATGATTAGATTCCAGAGATCGCTGCATATGATTGTTTTTGCCGTTTGTGATCCAAACATTTACAAGAGCTTTGTCACAAAAGTTCACATTATACAAAAGAAAAAGATGGATGTTATCATATCAAAAATGTATCCAACAAAAAGGTCAGCTCTAATCCATTTGTGTTGCTGAAGTTAATTCAATAATATTCATAAATCCTTTCATTTAAATTGCGAATTTTGTTTGTGGATGTTTAATCTTAAGTGCGATAGTGTTAGAGAATATAGCGACAGACATGCAAAGCTACATTTGAAAGCGTCTGTAGTTGTACCTGCTCCGAACTGATCTCCTGAGACGCCGAAGGCTGCACCTGCACCTGGAAGGTGTTGATGGACAGATCCGGGGACACGGTCAGAGTCTGCTGCTCACGACACAGGTAGGAGAACCCCCAGGGTGCCGCGCAGGAAGTCCAGACTGCTGTTATCAGCTGAGACGGGCTCTATGGGACAAAACAGAGCAGAGAGTGATTACAGAGGAAGATGTGTTCAGTAAACAAAAAGAATAGAGGTGATACAAAACGAGGAAACCACTAGTCTTTTTCTGGAACAAGCTTTGTCCACTTGGCATTTTGCCTCTATATTTGTGACATTTTGTATCATCTTGGATGTGTGTCTACAATCAGACATCTGGTCGCTGGGTTTTTAATTAAGGGATGTTGGACTCCAAGAACACTGCCACACATTAGTAGTGGGTTATCAGTGATTATTGCAAGGGATATGTTTGTATTTGTCAATAACCTTAAGGCCCTGACACACCAAACTGACACCAAAGAACACGTTCCGACAGACCCGATTGTTGCGTCACCTCACGTCTTGGCCATGTTTCGCACTAGAACACCCGGCAAAGACTTCAGCAGAAATCGGCTCGGTGTGTGTCAGGACCTTTAAGGAAACTCAACTGATTGTGCCTTTGACGAAATGCTTCACCACCTTGCATAGAGAATTTAAAAGGTGGCGGCTTTGTTCAAGACATAATATAATAATCTTGTTTAATAAAATACAAAAATGAAGAATCGCTTCTGGGCTAAGTGAAAAATAAGCAAGACAACAATGTTACAGACAGAATAAAGAACGGCGGCAGGAGACCAAAGATGAGCCGAGGAGTTGTAGATCAACTAGCTTTACAGTTACCAGGTGACAGCTGAAGTTCAAACAGGAAGGAAATGTTAATGGCCTCTGTGAATGATTTATTGTCTTAAGTTCATTTTGGACATTAGTAGAATTGGTACAATGCTAGAAAAGTCTAAACATTTTAATTTTTTAGTGAATTGTTTGCTCAGTCGACTCATATCCATTTACAGGGCACTACTGTGTCTTCTTTCCATTTCATTTACAATATTTGAACACCAAATCACGGTCTGTTATTGAGTTACAAGGCAGAGTAGGTTTCTGTTTTATACTAATAAAGGACTGGATTACCTAAAGCCAGTTGAGTAGCACTTGAAATGTTTGGCTCTATGAAACCTGATGTACTTATATGATTCTGTTTTCTTCAAGGTTGTGTCTTCCTGGTCGAATGTACTTATTGTAAGTCGCTTTGGACAAAAGCGTCAGCTAAATGCAATGTAATGCAATGTAATGTAAATGTAATGTTTGGATTTATTTTCCATGGTCCTAAGAGTAATCACGTAAATGAAAGAACAATCTCCAAAAACTGACCACAGGATTGGTTTGGCATTATATGATAAAAGGTGAAATACTACAAGGTTTAAGTGCACTCACCTTTCATGTCTGGCCATGCTGCAGACAGAGACACGTTACTCAGGTGGTACTTAGTAATATTCTGGAGAGAAAAGCAACAGCAACAAAAATCAGCTACACCGCAGTGAAGTGAGTTTACCTCCAGCTGCCATCTAGTGGCTGTTTCATGAAATACAAGCGATGTTATACAGCAGGTTGTGAGGCAGGAGTTACCCACCAGGGAGAAGAAGAAGGTGAGGTTGGTCTTCTCTGCATCGGTTGAGAGTCGCAGGGAAGCGGTGTCTGCGTCACATGATCCAGAGGACTTTGTCACATTCGGCTGGAGGTTCACAATATTCCACACAGTCTGTAAAGAAAGAAGGAGTTTACATTTAGGATTTGGAACCAGTTAATGTGGCTGAATTCAGAGAGCTGTTTGAGGGTTTATATTTAGGCACCTTATTCTGGGACACAGAGTTGAAGGTGATGTTGAGCTGGAGACCCATGGAGGCCAGTAAACAGGCCGTCCCGTTGCTGCTGCTCACCACATAGATACCCTTCTCAGGTCTCATGGGCTCCTTGTGCGGGGCAGCCGTCGTCTGAGCAGCAGCAAAACCCTGGAGCAGGACGCCAGCTGCAAGAAGGTTTCAGTTCAAAGTTACGATTTTCAGAGGTGCAATGTGTTCAATGCTAAATACATAATTAAAACAAGACTTTATGAGAACCCTTTAGGTATTAGATATCAAAGCCTACGCAAGTACAAATATCTATCTTGCACGTATATTTGGTAGCTCAGATTTCAAGGATTATACCAGCAGTAAGTGATTTGTGCATTTAACCAAAGAAAACACTTGGATGAGAACACAACACCCTTTTAAAAGCTATCGTTGATGTTATATAGTGTGACATACAGAGGTGTAAGAAGATATTTTACACAGGTAAAAGTAGCATTGTTAACATATAAAGTATTGTATTCAAAATTGTACTCAAGTAAAAAGTACAAAAGTATTGGCATTAAAGTATACTTCAAGTGCAAGTTCTAATTTCACAGTATGGCCCATTTCAGATCTAAAAATATTACATTTTTGTATTGTATAATTCTTTTTAATGCATTGATGTTAACTTGGTAAAGGTGGGGGTTATTTAAATAACTTGCTATACTGCTGGGTAGCTTAACCTATAATAACACATTATGATTTATTGGTTGATTTATATTCTGTATTATAAATCCATACCTGCAAAGTAGCGAGTTACTTAATGTAATGAAGTGAACGTTTAAAGTTACTTTACACTACTGCTGACAGATACGCTCCCATATTTTGAACTCAGTGTGAGTTCATCCGCAGACTGAGCTGAGACTGACGCCTTTACTTGCGCCAAAACAGAGAGAGACGTGAACGCATCATTAAACAGTACATCATGTAACGTTAGGATAAACCGTATATAACATTTCTGCAACCAAAATCAAGTTAATATGTTACGTAGGCCTGACAAATCAGCTGCTTGTTTGATCTTTAATTTATCTGGTTTTATTACATTTTAAACCCTTATAAAACACAGAAAACGTTGCTTTTCACTATCTAGTTGAGAAGAGTTTATATAGTGACCTTAGCTAAACGTCAGCTAACATTAGGCATCAGGAATGTGACGTCATCAAACAATAACCGTTACTGTTTTGCTCGCCCGGTTAACGTAGTAAACGATGATAGAATATGAATGGGCCAATACTCACCTAAAATCAACTGTAACGTTACTCCCAGCCACCATGACTGAGCAGCACCGATCTGAGTCATGCTTCTCTCTTCGGTAACACTCCAGTTGCTTCTCAGGGATACAAACAACAAGACGCGGCTAACTGGCTAGCTTAGCAAGATGTTGTGCTAGCTAAGCTAACGTTAGCGTAACAACAACAGCAAAGGGTGAAATAATACTCAAGCGCCCTGGATTTACTAAGATGATAAAGCTCTGGTTCTGGTAACAAAAACACTGACGTTTCTGGCACCACGTTTAAACTTTGTATGGTGTATATTTGCTAGCTGAGAGGTTAATTTAGCTTGCCTTTTAACACTTTATCACCGCAGCTTCAGCACAAACTGACATCAGTGAGTGTCATGTGACGGGCTTTAAGAAAAAACCCAGAAAGTCACGTGATGCACAGCAGCCACATGACAAGCGTATTAAGTGTTTTTCGTTAAGAGTTAAAGGAATACGACAATGTCATGCATTAATGAGTGGTGGAAAGTGTATTTGCTGAGCTAAAGTGCGTTTTCGAGATACTATTCTGAATTTTGTAAAAATGTTTGTAGGTTAAATATGTCACTTTTTATTGTTTTAATTCATACCCCTTATATTTTACTATTCCCTTTTTTTATCTTTGTGTAGTGATCAATACAACATAATATATTTCTATATAACCATTTATGTAAATACCACATATTTGTTTTATTTAACCTTATTTATGTATGTTGTACTATGCTGTATTATATTAAATGTATGCTTTACACGTTTTTTTCTACTAAATGCATTTTTGGAGGATACCTGTTACAAATATTGATAGACAGTTGCATTTACTAAAGTAGATGCTGTATTTAAGTGCCATGTTAAGGTACCTTATGCCACTAGACTCACTGAACTAAAACAAATAAGAGACTAATATTGTTATTTGAATCACATTAATTTGTTTTGTATTTTCACCCTACTTTGCAGATAACGACTACATAAAAACTGCAATATAGCAAGGTTTGTCCGATAAATATCAATGTAATTGCAATCATCATTGTTTATCTAGCTGTTGTGAGCTGGTCAGTTTTGTTTTGTATTGTTAACTTCACTGTGTCCCTCAATCAAACCCACTAGATGTATCTATCTGGCCAACTCACAGGCTCAAGCTTGAATGTGGACGTCTAATTAAAGGCCCCGGAGGTCAGACCCCAGTCAAAAGTGCCTGGACATTTCACTCACCAGTGTCAAAATAAAGTCTCCTCTCTGTGCAACCTGACCCGACCTCACTTGTCTGCCTGATAGCTCAATAATTTCCTCACAGATCAGTGTGATTATGCCACTTGAGACAGACGCGACCCTTTGAAAGAGACAGAGGTCTAACGTCCGTAACCTCTTCCTTTACACAGACAAACACTAACATTTAAGTATCATGGGGGTCAACTTATCCATGGACCCTTTGAACACACAGTCCCTTATTAAACAGACTGTAGCCGGCTCCAATCAATCTTTCTGCAGTCTGCCAATGTTCTCGTGTTAACCAACAGCCACATGTTTTACTTTATGATCTGTTCAATCTGATTTCTACTCTCTGCTTGATAAGGTGTGGTTTACAGGCCAGTGACAAATGCTGCACTTTTAGAAGTTGTTCATCCCTTGAAGTACCTTAGAAAACTGTAGCAATATGTCTCTTAAGGTCCAGAGGATAAAGGAACACAATTCACCTAAAGTCAAAATTCTTTGCATAACATTGTTTTCTATTTTATAAACTAGTACAGCTTTAATTTCACAATGTATAATACTAACCATTTAGTGTAGAAAAGTGCACCCAGCTGCCTTACCGTCAAATGGCAGCAAAGATTTTTTTTAAAACAGAGGGCTTATTTTTCTTATATCGTGTCTTACATCATGTGGGATTAATCTGTAGATGCTCTGGTTCAAAATGAGACCAAACCTTTCTATGGATATTCGGTTTTTTGACAAACTAAATGCCAAAATGTGGCCTGCAACAGACTAGGTGCATGTGGCTATTTGTTGGCATAGTCGATTCCTGGAAATGCACTTGTTGCCACAACCAGCCAGTTAGAAGTGTGGGGAGACGGCAACAATAAGGATATCAAATCATTACAAAAATGGTTTAATAAAAAATCACAAACATCTCCTTGAGCATACAGCCCTTTTCTGAATGATTTCAACTCAAATACATGCCAAATCTTTGACATTGCAACTTTAAACAGGGAAATAGCTCAGGGTTTATTCAAGTAAAGGAGAATTGATTGTACATATAATCTAAGATGAATAAAGAGGAAGAGGAACTCATTAGTGAAGCTGGAAGGACACATTTATTGAGGTTTTAGAGAAGGAAACAGTGAACATGACTGTCAGTCTGTCAGTGTGACTTAAAAGTGGGTGTTGAAGGTTGTGCTTCTTCTTTGAAGTTCACACAGCAAACGACTCAGTCCATTGGCAGGTAGTCAGTTCAGCCACTTCCTCTCAACACGAAAACATTAAGAGTGAGGCAATCCGACACAACCAGGATAGAAAGACACAAAGAAAAGCTTCAGTTTGTGCAGAAAGAGTCATGGACGCCCTGAGATCAGGTGTATTTCTGCTGTTTGTCCTGCTGCCTGTCTGCTCTGCGGGTAAGTTCCTCAAATACAAAACCTTTTACATGTGAGTTGGGGTCAAATGTTTGTATATGTGATAGAGAAAATAAAACACCCAGCTGGCATTTGAAAACAGTCACGAAGTGTTAAGAGACTCATTTTAAACCTAACTTGTATGCATTTTGAATTATGTCGTGATATCTTCCGTAACACGGGCCTTCTCTGCTCGGATAGATGAAGACAGAGAGATACGAAAATATCTGATATATGTGTTGCAAAAGAGTCACAGATGATAGAAGATCTTTTTCCACACAGCATCATCTTGTGGAAAAAAGTAGAGCCGTTTGAGGTTTTCTTACATGGTAAGGTAATGAGAGAAAAATGTTCCATTCAATGTTATGAGAACAGTTCCTTATATTGGAAACAAACATACATTATGTATATAATCTTGCTGTTTATCAATGAGGAAAACTGATCTGATAATAAACATGTTTTTTCCTTTTGTTTTTAGAGGCTCTTTGCTGACATTATATTTCTCAGACGCTCATGAAACGTGTTTTAGAGATACATGTTAGTCTAGTTATATTTAAATGTGTGTCTTTATATAATTCATCCCATAAAATTACGCAACAACGCGCTGCCTATCTTTCCTGAACTAGAGAAGTTTTCTGTGCATTTGATGTTTCCCAGGCTCTCCCTTTCATGTTGGAGGAGGGTTGTGAAAAAATATTTTCTAAGTGATCAAAAAACACTTTCAAGTCCTGTCATGTATTTCATTCAGATACATCGTGATGAAAGGATTAACAGGAAAGCATGAATAAATAATCTCCCATCAGAATATACTGAGTGGGAAAACAGCAACATTTAATTGAGTTTTCCACAGCATTAAAACTCCCTCTGAAGTAAAACACACTTTACAATGTGTAGAAGGAAGCTGCCATAGAGATATTTATAGGTTTATTTGAGCACTGCATATTTGTGACCTTGTAACTTCCTGAAAGCCACAATTGCTTAATTTTTCAATTCGTACTCGATGATGATTTGTTGCTAAACACAAAGAAATGCATCGTCCATGTTTACTATATTCACCAGGGTATGTGTGAAACAAGTGGGAAGTGATACCTTCAAAAATGACCAAATCAGCACATTTTTACATGAAATAACATCTTTAGATCCTGAAAGCAGTCTCCTTATCTTTTGCCTTCAATTACTGTATATTAACGATGTTAGCAGTAAGTGATTAAATATTCATAGCCAAGACTACATCATTATTTAATCGACTGGAAATATTTTAGAAGTAGTTTACACACATTACTCAAGATTCAACCTCACACTATTTTCTTTACTTGAGGATTTGCAGTCGAATTTAAAATAAAATAAACAATGTTTGGTTTGAACTTCAATTGAGAAGTTAAAGGACTAGTTTGACATTTTGAAAATACAATGACCTTCTTGATGAGTTAGATGAACAGATTGTTCCTAAACTAACTGGCTTCTGGTTGTAGCTTCTTATTGAATAAGCAGAGATCAAGCTTGTATTCAATCTGCACATTTCTGTTAGAAGAGCATGTAAATGTATTTCCCAAATTGTAAGTATATTGTAAAAAAAACGAAAGAAAACAAACTGCGAGGTGGGCTCAGCAGGTCATTAACGGCAATTCTCAGAAATGCTTATCCCACCCACTCAGCAACAGTTATTACACACTTTTCCTGTTTACAGCTACAAATAATCTAAAAGTAAGACATGTGACAACTTCAAGTCAATGTAGACATCAAGATTTGGTGATAGCTTCATTTAATCCCCACTACTGGCGTGGTGCTCTCACGTTATGGCTTCTGTTCCGACCGCAGAGCGAGATAAACGGGCCTCTAACAGCCGTCACTCTGACAGGAAGTGCTAATCTACCATACCACAGATATGTAGTGCATTACTTCCTGTTTCAGGGGTCTTACTCAATCATGAAATGCTTCACTATGGGGCTGTTTTCCATCCCATGTTGCAAAGTAAATATCTTGTACGCACACACACACACACACACACACACACACACACACACACACCACACACACACACACACACACACACACACACACACACACACACCACACCACACACACACACAACACACACACACACACACACACACACACAGTACTTTTCTGAAGTCAGAGGGGAAATAAACACATAATTTTACTCATGTTTTATATTAATTATATCATAATGATATATATTAAACTAATATATAAAGCATGTCCAGTGGCAGACCTTTTTAAATGTGGGGTACCAAATAATGTAAGCACAAATTTGTCACAACACCCAAATAGGGTTCTCCAATACACTTATAACAAACAAATACACAAGAATACTTATTTATTGTTCACATAAATGAATGCCTATAAATCATTTCAATTTCCCCTCTGGTTATAAAATGTCTTCCTCTAAGAGGAAAAATAACACAAAAATGATGTGTTGAAATCCCTCAGAAATGTGTGTAAGTTTAATATTCATGATGTTTTTCTTTTGTGTTTGTCCTGTAGAGACGTTCTTCACTCACCCTCACATCTGCTACTTCCTGGATGCGTTTCTGACCCTTTACTGCATAATTGCCACCGGGCTCTTCTTCAGGGAGAAGGTGAGATAAGTTATTAGGCAAGATATTAATAACTTGTCCGAAAAATTACCTAATACATTTTGTAATAACTTATTATTCATTTAAAATTCTGCCAATACTTTATTTTCTTTATCATTTAATCTTTTATTTATTTCTGTCTATTAATCTTGTATACACATTTTCTTTCATATGTTATCTTGTCTACCCAACAACCTGAAACGCCACTTTAAAACATTAATAATGGTTTCAAATAAGGACAAGCAACAATTTATCACAATGAAGAAAATAAACCTTGGGAATAATTGTAATTTTTTGCTAAATAAATACACCTTTGTAACTTGTGATGGGATTTCAATTAATTGAAATAGTCATAAAGTTGCAGACTTTTAATTTGATAAAATGCTGTTTGTTTCTCTGTGTAGTTTGCCGCCTTATCTCTGACTGATGAAGAGCCTGTAAGTCGCCATGTTTTCCTTTTATTTATTAATAATTGGTTGATATAAAGTATATTGATGTGAGTATGAGTGTTTTTGCTTGATGACTATCTCACTTTCTTGTGTATTTCTCACCGACTAAGAAGGAAGATAAGGCATGCATTTACCAGGTAAGACGAGCTCTCACACTGGATGAACAGATGAGGTTTAAACTCACTGCTCAGCTTTAACACATTTATTTACACTTTTCTCCTGCAGGAGCTCGACAGAGTAAAGGATACAGATGCTTACGATGTGCTCCAACCATCAAAAGGGAAAAAAGTAAGCAACAGAAGACTTTTGAAGGTCACTTTTCTGTCTCTGCTCGGTCCTAAACTGTCAATCACTGTGTTGTATTTGATCTTTTCTAGAAAAAAGCTGCCAAGAAGAATAAATCTGAGGTAAGAAGCTTACCAAAATACATGACGTTGACCTAATACTCACATTCATTATATATGTTGAATAAATAGAGATTGTCTGTTACGGTGGGTGAAGCAAGCAGGACCCAAATGCAGATTACACTGATATTGCCTTTATTTCAAGGATAAAATAATAACTTGGGCAAAACAGAACACTCACCAGTGAACTCATTCACAAACAAAAGCCGAACCAACACTGAACACAGGAAGAGACAAGACTAACGACAGGGAGGGGTAATCACAAGACGAGAAACAGCCGGGCAGTGGAGGAGAAACACAAGGGCGAGAGGTAAACACAATCAGACAATTAGACACACAGGGAAACTAACGACAGGGAGGAAAACACAGGGAGAAGGACCAGACAAGAAACAAGGAAGAAAACACCCAAAACAAGACATACAAAACGTGACATAACACAATAATCGTAACATTGTCTTTGCAATGGTACTAAATAAAAAATAAATAAAAAATGGTTTTATACGTAAATTGCAATTTATTTAAAATGTCAAGTTCAAGGAACTGCCTTGTCACTTTGATCATACATGGAAGTGGAGCCTTTAGTTTTAATTTAAAAGATTTTTTTTTCAATAAATAAATCTAATTTATTTATGATGTATATCACCATCTCCCCCGTCTTCATCACCGTGCCTACGTCAACCACCTCCCCCCCCTGGCAGCATGTCCTCTACCCCCGCACCATCTCCCCCGTCTCCATCACCGTGCCTACGTCAACCACCTCCCCTCCCTTCAAGAAAGCATCTGCAGTCTCCGAAGCCTGATAAGAATGTGTGTGTACAAAACGCAACAAACTCTTACTGATATGTGCTGGGTCCAGGCTCAAGGGCGTATGGCACTCTCAACTCTTTCCAGGACATGTCGGGGCCCTGCCTGCCAGTAGCTTTGCCGATATCTGTGTTGATAGGTAATAGATTAAGAGCGGTGAATCATCTTAGATACAGGAAGCGCTCAAACGTTTGTGTGAGTTTATCTAATTTAGCAGATTCCATGTCAGCCACAGCTTGTTACAAAAAACCTGACTGATAGTGTGTTTAACAAACTTAAATTAGCTTTATTAAATGTCAGGTCTCTGGCAGGAAAAACATTTTTAATCAATGATTTTATCACTGAGCACAATCTTGATTTTATGTTTTTAACGGAAACTTGGATTGAACAAAATAACAGTGCAGCTGTTCTTATCGAATCAACCCCTCCCAACTTTAGTTTTATGAGTCAGGAAAGAATGCATAAGAAAGGAGGTGGAGTTGCTATTCTGTTCAATGATTCCATTCAATGCAGGAAGACATCTTATGGGAACTTTGCTTCTTTTGAATATGTGGCCCTTCAGCTGAAATGCTCCTCTCGAGCTCTGTTCCTAAATATCTATAGACCACCCAAATACTGTGCAAGCTTTTTTGATGACTTCACTGTACTGCTGTCTCTAGTGTGTATTGACCGTCTAGTCATTGTTGGTGATTTTAACCTCCATGTTGACAACCCCCAGGACAGAGGGGCAAAATAACTGTTTTGTGTTCTTGATAGCTATGGACTGACTCAGCATGTGACGGAGCCCACGCACAATAAGGGGCACACTCTGGACTTAATTATCTCAAAGGGTCTGAATATCTCTAAGGTTGTGGTGACTGATGTTGCACTCTCTGATCATTCCTGTGTTTTCTTTGAGAGCTCTATTTCTGTTCACAAAAATGTACAAAAGAGGTAACCACAAAGCGATATTTAACTGAAAACACTAGGGAAATGTTTACTCAGAATTTTTCTTCCACACTTGCCCCTGCTAACATCTCAGTAAATGAGCTAGTAGATCATTTTAATTCAAAAATTTAAAATGTTATAGATGCCATTGCTCCAACTAAGGTAAAGGAAGTGACTGGGAAGAAAATATCTCCATGGAGAAAGGCCATGACCGTGAGAGCAGAAAAACGAGAGTGTCAAAAAGCTGAACGTAGGTGGCGAAAAACAAATCTCCAGGTTCACTTTGAAATCTATAAAGAGAGACTTGGCCTTTATAATTTGGAATTGAAAAACGCACGACAGTCTTTCTTCTCTGACATCATTAACAAAAACAAAAACAATGCACGTGCCTTGTTTGCTACCGTCGACAGACTAACTAACCCCCCAGTGTCAGTAGCCTCTGAATTTCTATCCACCAGGGCGTGCAATGATTTTGCCTTCTTCACTGACAAAATTCAGAAAATCAGACAAGCAGTCAGTGCCTCTGCATCCAACACATCCTCACTCCCAGGTCGGCCTATGTTGACGTTATGTCAAGTCCTGTGTCGGCTTTTTCCAACGCAAGGGGGGGGGGCCTTAGCGTCCATTTTCAACGCAAGAGGGGGGCCCTTAGCGTCCATTTTCAGCCTTCCGGGATGTCCATATGCTTCTATGGACGCTCATGGAAGCACGGCATTCGTTTGTGTCGGCTGCCCTTAAAGGCAATGTGAGCGTCCATTCTCATTGGATAACGGAGAATTGTACACCCGGAAGTAAGTATTCCCCTTACTGTCGATTGATTTTACAGTGATATCTGCACTACTCATCGACTAAAAAACACCAGATTATCCTTGTTAATTACACAACATTGATTGGTTTAAATTGTGTGCAATGCTTTTGTATTTTTCCCCTTCGATTCGGAGAAACAAATATTTTTTCGGAGTAAAGGATGGCAGAAGACACTACACTACCCAGAATCCCCAGCTATCGTTTGGACTACACCATGTGCTCTGTTTGACGTCACGTGATCTTCACATTTCTCCCTGCAGAAAAAACAAACATGGCGGAACTTCGTTTTATTCTCGGTGGAAAATGCCTATTTTAAAGTTAGTTTGGCCATTCAAATGCGTTTTGATGTCATTTGATGCGAGAAATATGAGTTGTTATTTCAGATTATGTGTGCAGTGCCCACATGATCTTTAGTTTGCTAGTTATTACGAAGATTACTTCAGGAAATTGCGTCCATAACGTTTTCATTGTTACCAAGGTGGTTGCTAGGGACGCTGCTATCGATATTATTTCTGTTATGTTGTGTAACTGTTTAATGGTGTTATCTTTATTGCTACCCCTTTCCCCGTCAATGTATAGTGTTGGTCCACAGCGCAAACATATTAGTTTAACAAAATCCGCATCTAAAGATACGTTATTTCCCCCTGTGCAATTGCAGTCTCACATCTCACAGCACATCGTCATTAACAAATACCGGAAACAGACCGAAAACATTTTAAAAAAATAAAATAATACTTTATTCCGAGTGTGCTTGCTTTTCTCTTTGAAAGTCATCACATACCGGCATTGTAATACACGATTCGGCTGCATTAAATATTACATATCTGCCGTAGTTCTGTATTTATAGAGCCCTGATGAGAAGACTTCTAGACAAACATGAGGAACTGAAAACGTGACATGGATCATAAATATATCAGCCATTAAACAACATCTTACATTTCTTTTCACACAATACGTCTCCTTGCAGTATCAACACTAATTAGGCTGACTTTTATATTTGATCCAATTGGTAGATAGGCTGTATTTACACCATAAAGGTGCACAGCTGATATAAAGGGACACCTAGTGGTTAAAGCATGTTATTGAATTTCATTATTTTTATTATTAGATATTAATAGGATCCCTATAAAGTATATTCATTACTCGTTATTCTCTACTAATAGTTAATTAAAGACTGTATATAATGACTATTTTGCACATCCCTTTCAAGATTTTCTAAGGTTTATTGACATATCATATAGGCCTACACAACTATGGTGTAGTAGTTATGCATTGAATGAAAAACTTGGGTCGCAGGTTCCTCAATAGTGCATTACAAGACATCTATCAATATTTGTGCATATACCTCCAGCAATGTTAACTATGTTGAAGCACTTATTTTAACTGACATTGTACATAATGTATTATACTCTTATAAGATGTATGTAGATATTTCATCTCCGACCTTGTCAGGTATTGAACAATCAATAAATAAAGAACACAGAATTGTTGAATATAAAACACAGAATTTGTGTGATTATACTAAATGATTTACAAATAAACACCACTGCATATTTAACTGTTACACATGCTGATGTAGCAAATGTTCCAACTTGAGATCAATAAAGTATATCTTATCTTAAGCTGATCGATGGCTACTGCCATATTTGCAAAATGTGCCTCTGAACCTTGACAAGTGCATGTTTCAGGCTTATCAATTAATGTAATGTAATGTTATCAATTAACAACAGTGGTCACACACATAAGACCAGCTGTTAAATAAAGCTCTTCTGACCTTAGCTGGCATGTGTGTATATATATTAATGCTGCCCCTTATGGGCACAAGCAATTTTCACCCATTTATTAATTATATGTTTTAAATGTGAGTGTTTCCTATCCTCTAAACCTCCAGGGATGTACACAGTTTAATACTGGCAACTTCTTATTATGGGAAATACGAAAACGTCTTTTATAACTACAACTCCCAGTAGAGACGTGCCATAGATAGAGAACATGTTGCGAAACAGAATAGCCAGCATGTGTAGTTCTGGGGATGGGGTGGGGGAGGGGGGGACGTGGTGGACCCGTTCAAATCCAGTTTTGGACAGTCTGCCGTGCATGGTTCCATCCCATTTCAAGTGCTGTTCGAGAATCGGCGTAACCCTCGGAGCACACTCTCCAATCACAGAGCTTGAGGTCTATCACGGGGTTTGTCAAACAGAGCACATGGTGTAGTCCAAACGATAGCTGGGGATTCTGGGTAGTGTAGTGTCTTCTGCCATCCTTTACTCCGAAAAAATATTTGTTTCTCCGAATGGAAGGGGAAAAATACAAAAGCATTGCACACAATTTAAACCAATCAATGTTGTGTAATTAACAAGGATAATCTGGTGTTTTTTAGTCGATGAGTAGTGCAGATAACACTGTAAACTCAATCGACAGTAAGGGGAATACTTACTTCCGGGTGTACAATTCTCCGTTATCCAATGAGAATGGACGCTCACATTGCCTTTAAGGGCAGCCGACACAAACGAATGCCGTGCTTCCATGAGCGTCCATAGAAGCATATGGACATCCCGGAAAGCTGAAAATGGACGCTAAGGGCCCCCCCCTTGCGTTGAAAATGGACGCTAAGGCCCCCCCCCTTGCGTTGGAAAAAGCCGACACAGGACTTGACATAACGTCAACATAGGCCGACCTGGGAGTGAGGATGTGTTGCTGCATCAGGTACAGCAAATGTGTTGTCCCTATGTCCACCTAATATCAATTCAAACACCATGACACAATTCCATCAGATTAATGATAAAAACCTAGAGGACATTAATCAACTTCTGAAATCCTCCTCCTGCTGCCTTGATATTATTCCAACAGGGTTTTTTAAAGATGTTTTTCGTTGCATGGCCTCAGATCTACTTCATATAGTAAACAAATCTCTTCACTCAGGTATTTTTCCACAGGCCCTGAAAACGGCAGTCATTAAACCGCTCTTAAAAAATAATAATCTAGATGCTTCAGTAATGAACAATTACAGGCCCATATCAAACCTCCCATTTCTAGGTAAAATCATTGAAAAAGTTGTTTTTCAACAGTTGAGTAATTTCTTGCATTTAAATAACTGTTTCGATGTGTTCCAGTCAGGCTTTCGTCCAAACCACAGCACTGAGACTGCTCTTGTAAAGGTCTTCAATGACATCCACTTAAACACAGACAGTGGCAGAACTTCAGTGTTAGTATTATTAGATCTCAGTGCTGCGTTTGACACTGTTGACCACAGCATATTACTCGACCGACTGGAGAACTGGGTGGGACTTTCGAAAACAGTTCTAAATTGGTTTGAATCCTACTTAAAGGACAGAAACAACTTTGTTTCTATAGGTAAATACTAGGGATGCACCGAATATTCGGCCACCGAAAATTATCGGCCGAAAATGGTTAAAAAGGCCCTTTCGGCTTTCGGCCGAAAGGGTTTTAGCACCGAAAAAATATCACCGAATGTCAGAACAGGCTTACGTTGGTAACCTAACGTGTTGTTGTGATGACGTAATAAAGACGCGGCGACCATGCTCGCGGCTGGCTCACAGGGGGGGAACATTGACCTTTGTCATCGAGATTGCCCTGAGCCTTTAACAAATCGTATTAAATAATCTGATGACAGACTGTAAACAGAATAGCTGAAATATTAACAAACTAAATAACTCAGTTTCCTCTAATCATTAACCCATGTTTGTATAATGTAGTTAACTCCGTGTGTTGCTGCTAGCATACATAACACCTGACGTGGAAACATTTTGTTAAAATGGTAGTGTTTTCTCCAAATTGTCACTGGTGTTAGCGTCACTGGTGTTACCGTCACTGGTGTTACTCTTCTTCCCGGTAACACGTAACACCAGTGACGTTCCTATATAAATAAGCTTTGTATAAAGTATAAAAATAATAAAAATATTTTAAGCTCTACTTGTTGTGGATTCATCAAGTTAAGAGTTAGTTATTGCTATTTAACAGGTTTTAGATGTTTTTAGAAGGAATATATTTCAGCAGATTTGTATCACCCAGATTCCACCTTTTCTGTAGAATGACCCAAATGTCAAACATAATAAACTCTCTAGGATGTAGTCAGAATATCAAGAAACAGGCAAGGCAAATGGTTTCCTTTTACAAATGTTAACAAATATTTACAAAATAAACTGGTCTAATAATAATAATATAATAATAATAATAATGATGAATACAGAATGATGTTAAACTCTGTCTCTCTCCTCTACAGTCGACCCAAGGTGTGCCGGATAAAGATCCCTACGAGTCTCCGGTGGCCTCAACTCCCCTCGAGTCCTAGATGTGAAACAACTATGCGATCAAAACATACATCGACTATTTTGATGATCAATGAATATTTAAGTGATAGATCGAGAAAGAAATGCAAAACAGTTCTTTACATGAAGCTTCTCAAAAAGGATGATTGTGTTATTGTGTAGCATTTACTATTTTCTGCTTGTAGCCTAGCGTGATAGCATGCTAACATTTACCAGATGGGTCATTCAACAGAAAAGGTGGAAGTGCTGTCACTTACTTTTGCAGACACCAAAATACATGATGTTGACCTAATACTCACATTCATTATATATGTTGAATACATAGATTGTCTTTGCAATGGTACTAAATAAAATAAATGGTTTTATACGTAAATTGCAATTTATTTAAAATGCCAAGTTCAAGGAACTGCCTTGTCACTTTGATCATACATGGAAGTGGAGCCTAGTTTTAATTTAAAAGATTTTTTTTTCAATAAATAAATCTAATTTATATTTACATAACATTACAAGCATTAAATATAACACTGAAATGGTAAAAAAAAACGCAAATTATTATTAATAATATCAAATAAATGTCAGTCACCCAAAATGACGTCATTGGTGTTACTGCTACACAAAACGCTTTTATTTTTGAAATAATGTACATAAGGAAAGTCAGATACTTCTTACTTTGTTTGTTAAAAGGTGTCATTTTATCTTCAAATTGTACGTGCGTCTTTCAAGTCTGTCATTAGTGTTACTCATTGCATAGCCCTAGGGGTGAACATTTGAATGGGAAAATGTATTGTATTGAAGAGTTAAACGATTTTGATATTGACTGACAGATGGCAGCCATTTTGTTAAAATGGTAGTGTTTTCTCCAAATTGTCACTGGTGGTGTTACCGTCGCTGGTGTTACCGTCACTGGTGTTACTCTTCTTCCTGGTAACACGTAACACCAGTGACATTCCTATACAAATAAGCTTTGTATAAAGTATACAAATAATAAAAATAATAAAAATATTGTAAGCTCTACTTGTTGTGGATTCATCAAGTTAAGAGTTATTTATTGCTATTTAACAGGTTTTAGATGTTTTTAGAAGGAATATATTTCAGCAGATTTGTATCACCCAGATTCCACCTTTTCAGTAGAATGACCGATAGCACTAAACAAAGTACAACAGAAGCTGATAGGGATGTTAAATACATCTTTAATTTAACTTTAGACCTCATAGTACCATGATGATTTAGCCTGATAGCATGCTATCATTTATAAGCAGGGTTGCCAACTTTGGGTACATGGCTGGAGTGAGATTTGGATATCATGGGTTTAATTACACATATGCGCACGAAATGACTGCTATCGTGTCAGCAGCGGGACCTTAGCATATATATAGGATATATATACAATATTGTAGCGTTCACAAGGTGAGTCGGAAACAGGCTTCTCGTTATTAGGCTGTAATAACTCTTGTTTGACAACAGATGATCATAGGTACATGCAGGGGCGGACTGGCCATCTGTATAATCTGGAGAACCACAGAACGGCCGGTCGTCAAGGGCCGTTGACGGCCGGCCGGCCCTTTAAAAAAAAAAATTGTTTAACGGCATCATTTAAGTTGCGCTGACGGGCGACAGCGGCCGCTAATGCAGTTGTGTGGTTCTTATCTGTCAACAACACACGAAGAAGAAAAAAGACCGGCCACACGAAGAGAAGGGATTAGACGCCGCGGCAGACAGGAAGAATACAAAAACATGGATACAAATCAAAGAAAACGAAAAGAAAAAGGTGGGGCCGAGAAGGCGAGAACAAAAAAGATGAAGTCACTCGCAGGTGAAGCATATACATGTCGCAAATTGACAGACCTTTTTGGCAGCAGCGCTGCTACGAGCATTATCAGCAGCAGCTTAGAACAAGTGCAAGATGATGAAGAGAATGATGAGGGCGTGAGTTCAGATATACAGCCAGCCTCCTGCGTTCATGATGAGGGACAGAGTTGAGCTGCTGGAAGAACCAGCTCAACTGGCACACGTGCAGGGCAAGAGCAAGAGGTGGGTGAGAATTATCCCTTGAACTCAGTGGCGTTTTCTCCTGGAGGCCAAGGGAAGCCAGGCTTCCCCTGTTTTTTTGGATTGTAGTTATAATTTTAATAAATACATAAAAACACTTCGTTTAGTTTCGGTAATTATTCCGCCGGCCCGTCTCTCCCCCATTCTCATTGAGTATTTTACAAAGAGTGAAACAGCGCCCCTCTAGATGTTATGGTGAAACAGTAGATTGCACTCTGTTGCGAGAGGAGGCTAGCCGAAATTGGCTTCCCTTGGTGAAAAGAATTGAGGGATTGACCAATCAGATGATGCACGTCATGCCTCACAATCCAATCAAATCGCATCAACTTCAGTTCGTACTGTAACTGTCATCACTGCCCTTAAAAAGTAGCAAGCAACTGAAGCAAGTGCAATTATGGAGGGTGGAGATTTGGAGTATTTCATCAAAAATAATTTTACTAAACTTCCGCTACAGGAAGCAGCTCAAAATGAAATCTGATGACAGGCCAATGCCCAAACTGGAGCTGTGCACAGAGAGGGAAAAAGGAGCGAGTCGGACGTAAAACTTTACAATAAACAGCGGATTTCTAACATTTGACATTTCATGTGGCCGGACTGGGTCAGTTTCCAGGGCTGAATTTTAGTCCCAGTCCGCCCCTGGGTACATGTACACTTGTGGGTTCAACCTCACACTAACCTAACTCCTACCCCTACACATATATATATAGCAGTGTCTACGTCACAACTCCCCGCCCTCTCCCCCAATCCAAATTGAACTGTTTGAATTAAAAAGGCACATTTGTCTTGTCAGGGCCGCCCCTCCCTACAGGCCAATCACGCAGGCTGCATGGGCCCCGCCTTGCGCAGGGGGCCCCGCCCAGAGGGCCTCAGCTGCTGTGCGCAGTTCTCCGCTCAGTTCTCCGCGCACCCCCCGCGAGAGTGAGAGTGAGAGACAGACCCGGCGGCAGACATACGTCTCTGGGCGGGCATTTGATTTACCAGGGCGGGCCCACCCCGAAACGTACGTTTCCCGGGAAATCTCGAGATTTGTCAAGGGGGGGGGGGGGGTTTAGGTTGCCAAGGCTGTTGACAGTCTTATTATAGGCTACATCCATTGGTTGTTTTTGTGGCACATTTGTAACGCTGTGCCAACTTGGGCAAGCACACAGGGTGGAGAGGTGGAGTAAGGTTGAGCGATGGAGAGAAAGGGAGAGAGAGAGATATTGAGCGAGGCAGAAAGCGTGTGCAGCGGTCTGCTTGCGCACAGAGCAGGAGTTTGTGAGAGAGCCGGCTTGAGAGTCAATTTCTCTTCAAAATATAATTGATTGCCAGCCTCCCTTGTCCCTGGCTGGCTTGCTAACTCGTTGGTAACGTAGCTGATGTCTTCTAATGTGCCTGCATCTGGCGCTGAGTTGCCATATTCCTTTCATGAACCACTTTCTGATATCCATTGTTGCAGATACATATAAATGATAATAGCCAAACTAACCTAGCAAGAGTGAAGTGACAGGCTGCTGTGCCGCATCTCACTCAAAAACCCACACGACTCAACCCAGCGAAAAACCAGTCGCGCTCGCAGCCTTTCATTCAGAATTTCATTCAGAATATCATAGCAAAATAAAAAAAATGATATTAAACTAATCTTTCAACATAGTTTAAAACAAAAATAAATATTAGGACAAAGCCCTACAAATATAACAACAATAAAAATAATCAGTGGCGGCTCCAGAGTGTTTTTGTTGGGTAATCTATGGTAGGGCTAACCCATAGTGGTGGGGCTCAAGTCAGTATTTGCAATGTAATTACATACACGCTCCCCTTGACAGTGAAACGCCACGCGTGAGGTTTAGATTATTTCCCTGTCTCAATCCAAATTGAACTGTATGAAATAAAAAGGCACATTTGTCTTGTAGTAAATAAAAAGGGCGACCTGGAGCCAATCCTGCAATTTCCCCACAGGTGAAAGAGTTAACATGCTGAAAACCCAACCTCTGTAGGGGGGTCTGGGGGGATTCTCCCCCAGGAGATTTTTTTAAATACTAACATAAAATACACATTCTGGTAGCCTACTCTCTTGAGAATAAAAATAAATAAATCTATTACTACGCGACATATTTAAAAAAAATGAATGCCATTTTAGTTTTGTGTTACTTTGTTCTGAAAGCTGAACCTGCTGCTCCTCACAGAGAGAAGAGGGAAGAGGCTGTGAATTACTTTACATTGTGGATAAGGGTGGATAGCCCCCAGTGTTCTGTGTGTCAAAATGAAAGACAGCCCACACACCTATCAATCATCAAACCGTGGAGTCTCATTTCATTATGTGTTGATTTCTATCAACACGTAATGTTGTATCGATATAGAGATGTACTACAGCAAAAGTATTCTCCGTCGGGACTTCCTGCAACAACACAACGTCGTTATGGTGATTCTGATTGGCCAGAAGACATTATCAAAGATGTTCTATTGAGAAGATGATCACTACGTGACAAAACATTTCAAACCGTTTATAGTCTTCGGTATTTACTGCTGTCTGTGCAATTTACTCCGCGAGTTGGCGGACTTTATTTAGCTTACTTTAAAATCATTTTTCATGGTGGGGCTAAGCCATTTCTTGGTATGGCTGTAGCGCCGCTGTCAGTACCAGATATGTTCGGCCTACCAGATATGTTCGGGTGTATTTCCGTCGCATCCGTCATCCGTCATATCCGTCATATACTCACCTCCCTCTGCTCCCAGCGCTATGCTGCCACACATCGGCCGTCTGCGGAACTGCAGCCGGAGGAACTCGGTACAGCTTGTTATGTGTGTGTACTTAATTATTTACAATTAAAAAATATATATATTCTGCGTTACTTTAGCCAACACTTTTATAATATATAAGCCTGATCATGTCGTTGAAAGCAAGTACAGATGTTCTCCCTTTTCCACAGTTCTGTGTGAACTTCATCTAAGGCAGATGCTTTGCTTCTGCACCAGTTTAGCAGAAGTCTGTTTTGTAAGACTGGTTTTGTTGCAGTCTGTTCATGCTATGTGTTTCTTGCGTAAGACTATATACACACGGAACACATGTATTACAGGGCTGTACCCAGTGTGCTTCATAAAACATTTTTGAAGCTTATTTTTTTAAATTAAGCCGTTTCCATGTTATAACAGCATCTCGTTAAATCAATATCGGAAACAATAATTGTCTTTTTGTGGTTATTTAAATGTAATTTATGGTGCTATTAGAGTGCTTATAGACTGACCCGTTAATACAGATGCCCCCCCCCCCCCCCC